TTCTGCTCAATCGTGAAGCATATTTCATTCTAACTTACTACATCTGTCTCACATCACATCCCTTCATGTCTCGTCTTGGACGAGCGGGGTCAGTCTCGCGTGGGCATGCAAGCATGTTTCGTGCATGTTCTGGCGTGCTTGCGCGCCTGCGTGAGCTGCTTCAGGTTGTATGTCTCGTTCGTGTGGGAGGTTTCAGACGTTGGTCGATCGGTCCTAACTATCCTACGCGTGATGTCGAAGACACGAATTAGAATGGTACCCTGACGGGAGCAGTTGTATAGTCAACGAACGGAGAAGCCGACGGCGATCAGACGGCCCTTCTCCGCTCCTATGCCACCATCGTTTGAGCGGATGTGTTCTGTGCTGGGTTCTAAAAGGATTCTACCCTTGCTGGGACTGTGTTGATGTTGCATTGCTCCGAGAGGTAGATGTCTGAACCTTGAGGTCTTCCACAGGAACTCTCTCACCTTGAGCGAAAGAAAGTGCTGCAAAGTTGATTTCTCTTGATCGTTCCATAGGACCAAGAGCTAATTGCCCGTAACCTTGATGCCTCATTATGATTGTGCCCATTCCACAGTAGCTGTACTTGACTTAATTTGACGTCTCCTCTTTCTTCAGCGCGACCATAACTGGATGCTTTACGTCGATTACAATAGCGACTACAATAGGGTAGGCCCGAGTGGAAGAGGGTGTTGGGACACACGAGGTGTCACAGCCCTCCTTCTCGATTTGTCCTGTCCTCCGTCACGACCATACTCCTCTGGCCCAAGAAAGGGTGGCCTGCCAAGTTCATTTAGTTCGAGCTGGTTTTAGCGGGATACACCATTGATTTGTGACGAAAGTGCCAGGCGAACCTGGCGGGCCTCGGGAGGTTTCTCTTTCATGGTCTTGTCTCATGCTGCGTATGGGATGTATGGGTTCTGATATACCTTAGCCTGAACCGAGCACCTGCAAGTCTCTGCAAAGACGAAATACCAAAAAGAGGTAATTCTTATTTACATACGAAGAAGAGGCCAAATAGTGGGAAAATCTGTAAGTGGCACACACGCATGCTCATGCGGAATGGATGTTGAGGCCAGATGGGCACTGACACTCGGCCGTAAATTGACGTAGACTCATACTGAGGCTGTAACATGTACTGGAATATGCTTCTAATGTTAGGTAGACAGAATGGTAATAAGTTTAAACTGCCTGTTTCTTATACATCTTCAGCCTAGCAGTGTCCAGCCAGATACAGCCCTGTCCATCAACCGCGGACAATGCTGATTGATCAATCAGTGCCCGAGAAGGCTATTAAAGCATTAACATATCTCTTTCCATAATAAAACACCCTATTGAATCCTTTGGTAGAAAGTAAGCGAGGAGGAACGAAGGTTCGGTTCATCAGGATGCGGGCAGGCTGCGAGGCCGATTTGGTGAGCTGGCCTACGAACAACCCAGACTACGGGAACGGACCCAAGCACTCTTCTCATTCCACGCTAACTTCCAAATGAGAATTGATGGTGTGTTATTGAAACAGACAAAGCTACAATAACTTTTGAAATCGTCTTTGGTTGGGTGAGGATGCTGATGGTGAGGTGGTGCTGACTCGGGGAGCCGAGGTCGCTGGTCTGACCTGTCATACCCCGCAGAAGAGAGAAGGTTCATCGGGAGATCTCTTTATTTTCAGATGATCTGGGCTCCCAGGATCTAGGCTGCCTGAGCTGGGAAACCTATTTGTGCCAACTACTCGGCCGGTCAGAAGGCGATGATACGTAAGGCCACCGACAGTGCCTGCCGATATAGCGTGAATAAATGCATTTGGCACATAGTAGCAGGAAGTAACAGAGACATGAGCAATTCGGAAGCTATATATGTGATATACAATTACTTCACCTTGTAAAAGGTCTGATCCTCTAGGTACGTAGTATTGCGAAAGAAGCGAGGGTTCCCAGAGCCTGGAACTCCTCCTGTACCGCGGAGCGACCGCATCCATATGGTCCTCCAGGCGTGTAGACCTTCCGAGGTGCGTGAAGGTGGCCAAATCTTCCTGTCAGCTGCCGTAAATTCGATAGCGACCGGGTGTCCAAAGAGGTGTGGTGTCTTTTGCGCGGGAACCCGTGTTGGTCGTGGCGGCCGCGATCCAATTGCGGGAGGCAAATGGAACATGGACACTCACCGTTATTATCAGGAATCTCAGCTGGAGTATCCTGATTTATCATTTTGATGGACACAGTCGGTCCCCAGAATCTCCGAGGAGCTAGATATTGATGGGTAAGTGTGCACCGTCGTGAAATCTTAGGACATGGAACATGGTGTCGCTGCCGCGGCGTAAGTGAAGGTGAATCGGAAAGATCTCACAACATCCCGTAGTAAGCTGACATGACATGCTGTCCGATATACGGAGGCGAAAATGTAAACATCATCGGATATTCTTACATATATTTATTGAGATTATCACTGCTGATAACTAAGACCATATGCTGAATATATGAGGCCGAGCGCGATCTCTTCAAATGTCGCGATTCATGCCACTTCGACGGACTTCAACCTCGAGAAATATGCTCCGCGTTTTGTTGAGGTCACCTACTAAGCGTAAACTTAAGACTGTTAAGTCACCAAAATGCCAGAGGAGTCGAATATCCTTCTGCAGGTACAGACCCTGCGTGTCTAGAAAAGGGCTTTGAGACTTGGCACATCTGCTAGAAACTAGGTATAGGGAGAATGTAGGTTGAATGGCCTCAGAGACTCTGCTCTGCGTCGCTGAAACTACCGTTGTATTCACAAGAACCTTGGGAGGGCGTTCTTATTCTGGCCTGGATTGTACTCTCAACTAGACAGATTTCTTTTGCGCCAAGATGAGAGAGGAGCCAAATTCATGTCGTCTTGCCTCTCCAAAGTGAGAGACAACTTCAATTGCATCCAGGACGCCATTTTCTTACTGTTTATTGAGGTTACATCCATATCTTCATAGCGCTTAACATCTATGTCAGGCCAAAACAAGGGAGCAAGCTAGAAAACATCTGATCTAGCTAGATACAAACAGAGTTACTTACTACCGCGGAGTTTTCTTACTTCTCCCAAGTCTACGTGTTCATTGATGGAAAACCCCCGGTATTCTGAGTTCCTGGTCTTCAGTGGACTTCGGGCCAATGCAGTGAAACGTCTCACTTGGAAGGTCTACGGATTGTTCGAAAAGCTGGAGACGGTTCTGGCCACGTGGTGGAAAGGTATAAAGGGGCCAAGTATACATGACTGCATGGGCGACGACAATGCATGATCGAACGACAGTGACGACCTTGCGATCGGCTGTCAAAATCAAAGGCGGGCCGCTGTTACAGCAATCCCGTCATAGATGGGATGGCATATGCACAGACAAATTTGACGGCCTATGCAAGAGACTGGTTGAGGGCCGGCCTACGTCGGTGCTATAGCCGACCTGTCTTATTGTCGAGACGTCTGAAAGGGCGGGCCAATTAGAGAGAGAACGCTCGAAACGGATAGGGTAAGAGTTTCGAGAGGTGTGAAGCGAGCCCTTGTTTGCATGAGGCCATGTCGGGCTGAGGCGAGGGAGGGCACGTCAGGCAGGCTTCTCTGCAAGATCTCGAAACTGCAAGACGCGTAGCGGCATGCAGATATGTTCTGATGGCTCTCGTCAGTTCTCCTGCGGATAGTGCGATTCCCGCAGAGGTTACATTGCGTGAGTGGAGAGGCAGATACGGGGAGAGAACGAGAGATTGCCTTATGCAGAGGCCGGCAATGGAGATGTTATCGAATGGGTGAGCACGACGGATATTCGAAGTGGATCTGCCTGAAACGAAAAGAAATGACGATACTACGTATGTGCGTGCGTGTGTGTGTGATTTATGGGGGGAAGACGAGAAAAGGAGTGGATTGGGACTTGGGGTGCAGCTTTGTTGTTGAGATGCAAAACCCCGAGACCGAGATCAGCCCAGGCGGGCAGAAATGGCGGCAATTCCTCATGCACATGCATGTAGTACGCATGTATGTGAGGCAGGATGGATGGATGGATGGATGGATGTATGTGTAGTATATGCAGGGAAAGGTCAATGCCATCCACGTATTCGGCAATGAGGTACATAAAAAGAGAAGGAGGGAGACTAAGGGCATGTGCTGTAAAATAGGTACATTTCGATATGCGCATATCGGCAGGCACATAGGATTATTATGTATGTGTATGTGCGTCTGGCTTGGTGCAACCCCCATCGGCGATCTCGGGTGGTTGGGAAGGGAGAATTTCCCCGTAGCCGAGTGGGTTCAGAGGAAGGGCAAGAGAAGACGAAAAAGAAAAGGACAGGCTGTGGATTTGCCGGGTAAGACGATCGAGCATCACGCGAGGGTGTCGTGCGAGCCTTTTTGGGGTATCGGAAACACCCGAGCGAAATGCGCAAAATGGCGGCCCCGTCTCCAGCATCGGATTTTACTCTCCTAGCTGTGATTCTGCCGGGATTGGGGCATCCACTCTGGGAAATGTCAGAGTGTAAACAAGGTAAGGTAGGTAAGGTAAGGTCAGGTCGGGCAAGGTAAAGGTAAGGATTCGTGCAGCGGCTGCATGCTGCCGGACTGGCGAGAGAGGTGTTGTGCATGAGACAGCCCAGTTACCTGCATGACTAGTACATGACAGCTGTGCCCATGATCCATGTGGGAGAGTGTCAACCGCACAGGCAGCCAGACGCCAGACGAGCCTGCGTGGTGCTGCTCGTGCCCAATGCGACTCTCCAACCCCATGCGTTTGTGCCTTTATCGCCGCGTCCAGGAGACCGACGACAGACCGACGACTGCTGGAGGACGATTTTACCTCGGACAGGGAACTGGCTGGACGTGCATGGCATGGCATGGCATGGCACACAGAGCATGGCAGAGCATTGCATGGGCATGGCATGGCATGACATGGCAGACGCCAGACGCATCTGACTGGTGGTTACTCTCTGCCGCCAACCTGATGATGATGCCGGCCCTGCATCGCGACCACCTTCACGGCCAGTCTGACCGTCGTCAAGATGAAAGGGGGCGTGCAGGTGGCTGAGCCTGGCTGCTCCGTCCGTATAGCCAGCCTCTCGGCCCGTACGATTCCATATGATTCTGGACGAGATTCTCTTTAACCTTTTTGGCTCCCATCCGTACGTCACTCATACTGACAAGTGCGCATGTGGAGTGAAGCATGGATGGAGAATAAGGCCATCTGAGCTTTACCAGTGGAGCCGGTCCCCTAAAAAAACAGCTCTCCACCTCTGCAACTCTAGACAGAGACGGAACAAGTCCAAGGTGAGTGCAGTAGCTTCGCTTGTCGAGCAAGGGTATGGCATCTTGTTATTGTTTTCCTCTTTCCAGTATTATTCCTCCCCGGAGATGATGAAGGGAAATGCCCAATTGTCCAGGAAAGGCAAGTCTTCCAATTCGATGCCGGTTGCTTGTCTCACAGGCTTTCGAATTGGCCAACCAAGCTGGCCTGCAGGCTCAATTTCTCGTGGCCGTGGCTGGCATGAGGGCTTGCCTTGAGTAAGGCAAGGAAGTCTTGTCCAGACGTGCCGAGCTCGTGATCCACCATCGCCTGCCTCCATCATGGTCCGACTATAGTTGACCGCGTAACCTGTCCCCCGTTCATCATCAGCCCACACTGACACGGTTCCGCGAAGACGTACATTTTGCAGCTCCACCTGGGCTGCCTTTGATCATACCATCGGCAGAATTGCTGCGGGTGCAGGCGGGTTGGTTGGATGGCTACCCCGTGATGAGATGGAGCAGGACAGACCGCAAGTACCGTACTGACCATTTCAAATCCCGATGGTATGCAAAAGGGCGCATTGGTCTGCCAATGCTCATGCTGGCTGGTGCTAATGCCATGCCGTGCTGTGTTGGCCGGTGGTGCCGTGGCTGTGGCTGCTGGCCGCCTTTTTGAGGTGACGTGATGGGAGACGAGATGAGGCTCGGAATTGGCAGACCAGACCAGAGCAGGCGGACCTGTCTGCAATGCCAGGCCTGGCGTGCAGGGTTGTTGGTCGATGCGATGCGATGCGATAGTGCGACCGCGACAGGCGGCAGAGCCTCGCTCGTTTTCGCTCTCTCGGGGGTGGATGTATCGGCCGTACCTCTATTGATGATACCTAAGGCGCACTTTGGCCAGCGGTACGACACGGAAGCCGAGGTGTCATGTCCTTGGCTGTGTGTGTGACAAGACGGCGTCCCTCGGTCCGCTGAGCATCACCAGCCTTTCCATGTCTTGGGTTTGTTTGTCTCTCCGCTATTGTCCTGAGTGAGTGCTGTACCGTAGGTTTAGGCTAGGCTACTTACTGAGCTACAGTACCTGAGTAGGCAGGCTGGTGGCCTTCTGGCAGGCTAGTTCAGAGGCTAGGCTAGCCTGAGCTAAGCACCAGCAGCCGCCCGCGCCGTCTCACTAATGTTGGGCCTACAACCTCTTGCTATCGCCGTCCATGGAGCCTCCCTTTCATGGAGAGTCAGGAAGGTACCTCGACGCAGCCGCCCAGGCACGACGCCCAGACAGCTACGGTCGCAGCGGAGTTGCAGTCGCAGTCACAGCCTCGAGCCTAGGCGCTGGCTGGGGGACGGAAGCAAAACGTCATTGGGCGCCACGGCCTGCGTGAGATGAGATGACAGAAAGGACCGACACCGACCGAACAGAAACAAAACACCTGCCCTTTCGCAACGCCACGGAGAAACTGCAAGGGTCCGGCCTCATCGTCCTCCCACCCGTTCCCCTTCATCTCCATTGCCAGAAATCACCAGGTGACACTTCCAGAAATGGCCCGGCAGGGGTAAAATGAGCTATGTGCCTGCGTCGTTCACCATCAACAGCCGGTCGCGCTTCATCAAAGAGGCATAAATCTGTCGCCGCGAACCATTCGCCGGTGGGCTGATTGATGGCTGTGTGGGCCATCGAGCCCGTCTCCATCCTTGGCCCTCTGCCCAGACAGCGCCCATGGCTTCCCAATCCCATCCCATCCCATCCTATCACATCCCATGGCCCATGCTCAGGCCCTGCCCATGCCAAATGCCAATGCCCATGATCCGTCCGTCCACCCACTTTACTGGGAACCACCCTCCAGGAGGGGAACTGCTCCGCTGCTCTGACACCATCCACAGCTACCTATCATCCATTCATTGTCCATATCTACCGCTCCCCTCGACTTCTCATACTTAAATGTCCGTCCTCGCCAGAGCTGCCTCGAGTTGCACCGGCAGCAGCTCACAGTCGACCTGAGCCGTTTCAAGACGCCTCAGCAGCTGCACGGCAGCACACGCACAGCGTGACACAAACACAGCATAAAAACGGACGTTGCCCCTGCTGCCATTCTCCAATCACGGCCAGTTCTACATACCCCAGAAACAGCTCCAGCAGGTCCTTAGGTACTGGACCTACCTACGACATACCTACACACTTGACCTAACCGCTGCATCACCCACCAAAATCCAACCAACCAACCCCATCAGCCGAACCCGGATTTCTGCTGCTCTCCGGCCCAGAAACAAAGCGTCCGGCTTCTGGCTGCGCCTGTGCGCTCGACAAACCGCACAAATCTCTTGCGCCCATCGGCAATGCTCCCTATTCCTGCGTTCTCGGGATCATGACACTCTGTGTGCCACTCTCGCGAAATCGAGGGCTACCGTCGTATTCTTCCCAATGTCCGCCATCGTCATTGGGCATCAAGAAACTCCCCCACCCTTCCCGCTCGACAATCGCTCAACGTCTGCCTCTCCCAGAACCCGCCTGTCGACCCTACCACCGCCCATTAATACAGACACCGATCCTACACCGAGACTGCGGCGACCTTATCCTGTAGCAGCAGACCGTCGCCCACGCGCTTCGTGCGCAATCCGCCATGACGGCCAACGCCGTGCCGGATACGCAGTTGGGACTTTCTCCGGAGGAGGTCCAGATCCTACGGCAGGGCCAGGCCGCCCTGGACGGGGGCTCCAGCAGCTCCCGTGCAGCCAGCCGAGCCAGCAGCCAAGGCCTTCTGCTTCTCGATAGCTCCTCCCTCGCCGCTCTCGGCCGCTACTTCGACCAGCTCATGGCCAACATCGAATACAACATCCACTGCCTCAGCGAGCAGGCCAATATGTTCACCCAGGTCCAGTATGACCGAGCCGGCAACATAATAGCCGGCGCAGATCAAGAGATTGCACGCTATACGTCCATAATACGCCAGCTTGATGAGCTCGAGGTGGATTTCGACCGCATTGCCCACATCAAGGAGATTGTGAAGCAGTACAGGTCCCGAGTGGAATCTCTGGAGCGCGAGCTGGATGATAGCGGTTCGTCCCGCCGCCATAGGCATTCCTCATCCCATCATCACTCCTCATCGTCATCCCGCCATGGCCACAGTTCCTCCCACCGCCACCACAGCTCCTCCCACCGCAGCAGCCGACGCTGAGCAAGGGAGCTGGCCACCTCTTTGGGCATGTCCGTATTCACGGAGTGCCCTTCCCGTAATCTCCCCACCTATCTACTCTTCTATACTATTCTACTGGTTTCCATACAGCCAGTACCAGTCTCACCACATTAATTCTTGGCATCATGCAACAATAGCATTTTCATGATATGCTACTGTACGAATTTGTATTCATTGGGAGGGCAGCAATTTGCAGCGGGATAAGACAGAACCGCTACTTGATTCACAATCTTGACCGCATTTATCTTGTCTTGGATGCTTTTACACACAGATGGGCGAGCGTCAGCATGATATGGCATCAGTGGGGATTTTTGGGACTGCAGCCTTTATTCTTTTATTGTTTGTTATTACTTGGTGCATAGGACAGCGAGAGTGCATGAGGCCTCGCGGCTTGGCAAAGAAGGATTGGCCTCACGGCTAGCTGGAGTGGTGATCTTTTCACGGCGTTCGTTGGGTCTTATCTTGGTTTTTTTTTGTTTCTTATTCCGAACTCAATCACGAACGGCCTTACCCTACTCTGGATCTGGATTTTCACATCTTCTCTATTATACCGCCTCTGGAACTAGCTTCCAAAACTATCTTTGAGCTTCTAATATTCTCAGCAAGCAAGTTTGGATTTGATTGGTGCTCAGGAAAATACCCTCCTTTTTATTTTACTTTTTACTTTTTCTTTGTTTTCTTTTCTTTTTATTGATTACATGGCAGGCGTGTTGTTTCCTCCCACTTCTTACACGACATGTTATAACAAACCTCATTACCCTTTCGCGAGGAGAAACAGCACCGCCCATGTTTAATCAAAGTCATTTGATCTGGAAGAACAAAACAAAAACCAAGCGGCAGGGCATCTGGACGGAAAACAGCATATGATGGGAAAGAAGATGAATGAAATTCCTACACGGGAAACTAGGGGGGAAGCCGGGAGGGTGTGCAATGGGAATGGCGAGGGGAACAAGAGGAAGTGATAAAAAGGGGAGTGACAAAGACTGAGAACAAGAAGGCTGAATATGTGTGATGGGTAATGAAGGAATAAATGATTGAATGAATAGCAAACGTCCTTCTGGCTGGCCAAGGTAACATAGGACCAGGATAGAATGGACACCCAAATTCCGAGTTTACGATTACGATTGCAATGAAAGGCTAGAATGGTCCCCCTCTATCACGTTTCGTGTGGGTAGAAACAGGCCGGGCAGGGTGAGGTCAGCCGCACACAATTACTGCCTCCATCCCTACAACCTCTCTCTCTCGGGAAGGGGGGGACCTGTGTCACCGTCCTGTTCCTCCGGCAGCCCGGCATACCCGTGTTGGTGATGGTAGCAATACCACCTTGCCTCGCCTTCCACGAGATGCCTTTGCAAATTCCTCGTCCGGGTAATGATGACCTACTGACGTTCGTTTCGGTTTAAACTTCCTGGGAGCCCCCCGGTCCGCCCTCCCTCCCTTTCTCCCCAGAAGCTTGGTGGGCATGCCTCCCCCATCCCCCTCCATCGCATCCTGCACGGCCAAAGCTTGTGTGATGGAAAGCGGCACATGGCATCATGTGCGTTCGCATCGTTGCTTCCCACTCATTCTTTTTAACGTCGGGGAGGGGGCTTTGCACCCATGGAAGGGGGACCGGATCGAGATGGGGAGAGACCGTTCAGGGAAGCGATGTTACCTGTCACATTCTTGCCCTCACCGGGCCAAGGAGGAGCTGAGAGCTGGAATTGATTAGTGTGTGTGCACTGTATCGGCGTATAATCCCGCCTTGCCAGGGCTGAAGAGAGGGAAGAAAAAGAAAAAAAAGAAGGAAAAAAAAAGAAAGAGATGGGAAGGCTGGGCGCTTGGTCACCAATCACATACTACCTAATTAATATCAGGCTCACGGTGGAAATAAGCAAACAGAGACATACACACCGGTGTGACTTGGTCCCCGAACTAGTACCTGTGATCGTCTCACGCCGGACGGGAGAGAAACTTGCATGAGATGCTCGCTGCTTCATGCGACGGCGCGACACATCCGACATGGGGGAGACGAGCAAGCATACATCTAGTACATGGCATGGGCGTCATTGCAACCCTCCCTTCTTGATAATGGTGGGAAAAGCATAATGGGATTTCTGATTAACCTGGTATTTTTTTGAACTTGTTTTTCTTTAGTCATGCTATGCTGTCTATCGCAACTCAGCTTTCTCAACAAGGTGGCAAGAAAATCTCACTAAACAAGAAAATTCCTATGGATGCCATTTCAATGACCCCTGCCTCAGACCCTGTTTCTCCAAACGCCCAGAGATGTAAAAAAAAGCAAAGAAATCCAGAAAGAGACGGGGGAAAAACACCTCAACAACAAGAAGCAAAAAGGGAAAAGACAAAACGGTGGCTGACCCGATAGTCAGATACGGCCCGTCTCGGAAAACGAGGGTGGGATGAGTGAGGGAAGAGGCGCAACACCAAGAAAGCGCCCGTAATCTCCATCTGCTTGCCGCCCTCTTCTAAAGCCGAGGAAGGGGGGGGAGGGCACTCTTCTAGAGGAAATGAAGAAGGAAAAAACCAGAGGAAACGCCGCCGTTAACCGTTCGCCATCTCCCAGCCCCCCTCCCACCCTCTTTTGTCTCGTCAAGCCTCGCTCTCATTATCCTTCCCCCCCCTCCAACCAATTACATTGCCCCCTTTGGGGATTGGTGGATGGGGAGCTAAGGTTCGTTGATAATGGAATGAATAGTCTCCGTCCTTGCTCCAACCAAACACCCGGCCGTTCACACACTCTCGCAACCATCCAGCCAACCAGACAAGCCCCTCATTCCCCTCCGTAGCCTCCTTCATAAGCATAATTCAATAGTGTGAAAAAAAAGGTAGAAGAAAAAGAAAAGCCATATGCGCCACGGCGAAAGCAGGGAAAAGTAGAAGAGTGTACAAAGGAGAAAACACGCGGGCTCTGAAGAGAGATTATGCAGTGATGACAGAAAAAATGGACAAAACGCCACACTCCTCGTCGCAAGGAGAAAACAAAACAAAGTTTGCGGATGTCGGCATGCATTCTAGAATGAAAAGTAATGTGTATCATGACGGTATCAATTCCCATCCATCCCTTTCTCTTCCTCTCGTGTCAGGGATGGGAAGGAAGGAGAATGCATTATTGATGGCGGGAGATACGAAAACCAAGGCAAGACAAGAAAAGAGATGTCATTCATGTACGTCGTGCCCTCCAAGTATATCAAAACGTCTTGACATGCGTGTGCACATGTGTAGAATAGAAGTGTGGTATGGTGGAGTGAAGTAGTTGGCGAGCTCTTCTCGCATACGAGGGAAAAGAGACAAACCCATCAAGATGGAGTCCATCAGACCTTGTTCATCTTGCGGGTTCGCACGAGGAACGGGCTGGGCATCTCGTCGCGCTCCGGATCCCAAACGGCAGCCGGCTCGCTGCTCCCGCCACTGGATCTGCGTCCTCCGACATTGCGACCCGCGATGCGCTTAGGGCTCACGTTGCCGCTGTTCTCGGATCCAGAGGCATTGCCCGACGTCGTTCCAGGGATTGCACTCATTGGACGGCCGCCTGCTCGTGCCTGCTGTAGCTCTACCAGCGTTCGACCCTTGATGTTGTTCTTAGCAGCCATCTTGCTCAGCGCGTCGCTGCTGTTGTCCTTCCTGGTTGGAGGATTTCGGCCCAGAGGGCCCATGGCCGATGAGCCGTTCTCTGTCAGATTGGCGGCCGATGGGATCTTGCTCAGCCGTCTGTTAGGCGACCGAGGGCCGGACTCGGGTGGCATCAGGCCAACCTTGGAGACCAGACCGCCTCCTGAGCTGCCATTAGTCTGTCCCTTCAGACGGTTGATGGGGCATGACTTCTGGGAAGTGAGAACAGGTCGTGACTTGCTTGTAAATGGGTTCTTGGACGACTTGATCTGGCGGGTGGGAGATGGGATGATATCCTCATCATCCGACTCCTCGAGAAGAGCCTCGCGGGGGATATTCCATCTTCGCTCGCCGTTGTTGGCGGCGTTGACAGCGAAGATGTTGCCTGTATGGAGGGTGGGTGCCTTGGTGGCTTCTCCTCGGCGTGGGGAGAGAGACAGAGAAGCAATGGCCATGGGGCTTGGGGACGCCATCTCCACGTCCATGGGAGTTCCGGCTGGGTGGCCAACAAACATTGTCTGGGCACGTCCGAAGGGTGTCCTTGTGTTGGGCTTCTTGGTCTCCTTGGTGCTATCAGGGCTGTCGATGGAGTAGTCGGTGAGATCAGTCGTGGAAGGAAACTCGTCACCACTAGTTGCTCCAATTGATGAGTGAGGGTAGTCAGACTTGGGTTCCGACACGGGAAGCGCAGGTAGGAGAGCTTCTTCAGCCTTGGGCTCCTCCTCCACGAATGCCACCGTCTTCTTCTGCAACTCAGAGTCGACACGGGCCTGAACTTCCTCCTCGAAGCGCTTCTGCAGCTTCTCGATCTCCAGCCCCACGAGACGGTCAATCTCGAGCCGGGCCTTGACCTCCCATTCTCGTCGTAGGGATGCGTCGAGTTCCTCACGGAGCATGTTCTTCTCCTGATCCATGACAGCCAGCCTGTCATTGATGTCCTTCTCCCTCTTCCTCAGCGCATCTTCCTTGATTCGGAGCGCCTTGTTCAAGTCAACCACCTCCTTCTCTTTTCGCATGAGCTTCACAGTTGGCAAGTTCAGCAGCTGAGTTGTGTCTGGTCTTCGGTCAGGGTTGACACGGAGGCAGTCTCTGATGACCTGGTTAAGATCCGGAGAGTACATCTCGGGAAGGGGAGCGACCTTGCCCTCCTTGATCTTCTGCACGAGCTGGAAGTGCGTCTTGGCGTTGAACGGAGGCTCGCGGGCGCAGAGCTCGAAGATGATGCAGCCAAGTGACCAGATATCTGACTTGAGAGTGTACTTCTCTGCCGCGCAGATCTCGGGAGACATGTAAAAGGGTGTTCCGACATAGGTGGATGCGAAATCTTGTGATTTGATCATCTTGCTGAGACCAAAGTCGCCCAGCTTGACTGAGTTGTCTTCATCCAGGAAGACTGTTTTTGTTGTGGACCTTGTCAGCAAAATTCCACCTCCGCCATCAAAGATTCACGGAAACTCGGGGGGGCCATGCTTACCGTTTTCAGGTTTCAGGTCTCGGTGCAGAATAGTCATTGTACCAGCAGGGACCTTGGGTGCACCGTATGCGTTCCCTTGCGTCAAGCCCAGCACCTGAGTTCCCACCTCGGGAGGGTCGACGCCGTAATGGCACCGATACAGGGCCAGGACGAGCTGGCTGAATATGCTCCAGACGAAGCTCTCGGGAGCACGCTGGTTCTTGTGGTGAAGATCCTTGATAACACGGCCAAGGTCGCCGTTACCGCAGTACTCCATATATAGATGCAAATCCTGGCTCATCTTGAGATGTTCTCGGTGGTAGTATGCGACGATGTTGGGATGGCGCAGGTGCGACAGGATCTGGAACTCGGCGTGGAGCTGCTCGCGCTCCTTCTGGGACATGCGGAGGTAGGAGATCTCCTTGCGGCACATGATGAAGCCATCCGTTCTCCGGCGCACCTTGCGGATCACACCGAAGGAGCCATGACCTAAACAGAGTGAAGAGAAGCTTGTTAGCAAAGGTATTCACGCCAGACTGGGGACCAAGATCCAAGTCAAATTGGAACCGTGAAAAAACAATCGGCCAGCAACAGCGTGAATTGGAGCTGTTGCGGTTGGTGAAGTGGCCGATTGGCGGTGAACGGTCGACCGAGGTAAGCGGGAACGTACCAATCTTCTCCAAGGTCTCGTACTTTTCTTCTGTCGACGACATGATGAACGATATTCGAAGACAATACCACGCTAAAGTTGCAAAAGCACAAATGAACCCATGCAGAAGGACGGCTGCGTGTCTTCGCCTGCAACTGCTCTACAGTTGGTGTAATGGAATGATGGACTGGTAGATATCCTGTAGGGGTTAGTAACGAGGGCGGATGTTGGTCGTCGTGGGTTGGCGATGGGAGGAAAGGGAAGAGAGGAAGAGGAAGTGCTTTTCGAGGCTCCGGTATGATGATAAGTTTCCGCTCACAATCAATGCTACCTGGTAACCAAGCGCCGGTTCCCCGGTCGTCGTAGCGCAAACAGCGGCTGGTTGCTAACCAAGACCCTTGTCTCTTAGCTATCGTCCCACACCGTAAACAGTCAATGTGGTTTCCACAGCAACAGCAACAGCTCGCAGCCTTGCCGAGCTTGAGCCGCTTATCGATAACAGCCCGGCTCTCTGGGATCCACATTAGGTACGTATCTTTGCGAGTCAATCGGTGGGGCCGCTGCAGAAGGAGGGGCCCAATCAACTTACAGCTCGACTCGGACTTAACTCCAGATCATGGAATCATCTTTCCATCTCATAATGAATTCATGAAGAATCCATCCTTAACTTTTCCTCCTTTCTTTTCCACTATTCTGATAGACTTTGTTTGTTATTTCATAGAAGCGCCGGGAACCACGCATATATAAACCGACCCCGTATATTCATTTCACTCTGTCAGCTCTACGTTTTGATAACAACTGTCGTCTTATATTATTAATCGCCCCCCACCTTCGCCATCATGGTGATGAAGAAGCATGAGCTGGAGGGCACTCTGGCGGAGGAGGCCCTCATGATCAAGGCAGGAAAGCTCCGAGACGAGAACCCTCTTGATACTAGCCCGGAATTTCATGACTTTCTTCAAGCTTGCCGCCACAACGACTTGAGAAAGTGCCAAGAACTGATCAACCTCGGCGTCAACATCAATGGCAAAGATAGGTTCGATTATACACCACTCATTATTGTACGTTTCATCTACTATCCCTAAGCAATCAGGTAAATGAGACAGATACTAAACCCTTCCTATCTTTAGGCTAGCTTATGTGGTCATTATGAACTGGTCCAGTTGCTGCTTGAGGCCGGAGCACTGGCAGAAAGGGACACCTTCCAGGGTGAGCGTTGCATCTACAATGCCCTCAACGACAGGATACGCAACCTCCTCCTAAAGTACGACTTCTCCAAGTCGTCAGATCCTTACATCTACTGGTCCACGCACATCTCCTCGCTCCTCAACCACAGCCTGGCGGACATCTCGCTCGTCGCCGGCTCGCAGTCCTTTGACCTCCACAAGTTCATCCTCGCATCCCGGACGCCGTACTTTAGGAAGAAGCTCGAGTCGCAGCCGGAGACGGTGTCGTGGAAGCTGTCGCCGTCCATCCCCGTCGAGGCCTTCCGGATCGCGCTGCGCTACGTCTACCTCGGGGCCATCCCCAGAGACCTTGCCCCGCAGAACAGCGACGTGACCGAGGAGGATGTTCTGAAAGGGCTGGACAAGATCAGCAAGGATCTCGAGATCGAGAGATTGTGGGAAACCATTCTCGCCGGCGGTGACCGCCGCCTCGCGCGGCAACGGTATCAGGACGAGGTGGAGAAGGCCCGCAACCAGATCGGCGACTTCTTCAAGCAGAATGTATTAGGCCACAAGATGATCGTCGACACGGACCGGGTGAGCGACGTCAAATGGCGGCACGACAACTCGATCTTCGCCGACGTCCTCCTCCGAGCGGACGAGCCCGCCGACGGAGAAGACAGCCAGGAAGAGGAGGCCGCCGAGACGGGCAACGGCGCCATCCCCATCGGGCCTGTGGCGAACGGCAAGCACACGGAGTCCAAGCCGGCCAAGTCGGTCCTCTTTCCCGCCCACAAGGCCATGCTCGTGCGCAGCGAATACTTCGAGAAGATGTTCTTCGGCGAGTACATCGAGTCCCAACCCGGCGACACCCTCCGCATCATCACCGTTGACACCACCCCGGAGACCCTCGAGCTCATCCTCACCTTCCTCTACACCGAGTCCACCGACGGCATCACCCTCGACCACGCCCTCGACCTCCTCTACGCCTCCGACATGCTCTTCCTCGACGGGCTCAAGTCCAAGGCTGCCGCCGCCATCTCCACCCTCGGCAACGGCGCCGCCGCCGTCCTCACAGCCGACGACGCCGTCGTCGAGCCCATCAACGTCTACGACATCATCCACGCCGCCTGGGACCTCAACGTCCAGCGCCTGGAGGAGTTCTGCGCCCGCTACCTCGCCGACCGGCTCGAGGACTACATCGACGAGGACGAGTTCCAGGAGCTGATCCGCGAGAGCGCCAACAGGCTGCGGAGTCGCGAGGAGACGGACACCATCGAGCTGCTGGACGACATCAGGTACTACCTGTCAGAGCGGTTCAGGCAGCGCTTCGAGGACACGGGGCTCGACGAGTTCATGGACGAGAACGGCGAGATCGACGCAGCCGCCGCGGCTACCATTGCCGGACAGGCTGCCGCCAACGGCGACGCCACAGCTACGGAGGATGGCCCAGAGATTCTAGCCGCTCCGGTGGGTGAGAAGGAAGAGAACGGCGATGGGGCTCTACGCACGATAGACGGGAAGGCGGCAGAAGACGAGTTCGCCTCCGACGCCATCAATTATCAGCTTCTGTTGGGTAAGATTGATGTCATGTTAGATCGTCTTAAGCTAGATGCATAAAAAAAGAAACGCTAGGTGAGGGCTCCCGGAATGCAGCAACGAAAAAAATAACATCCAATAATCTGCCATCGCCTGTAATACATTGACGCGAAGATGTCATGAGATGGTTTCTTGAACCGATGCCCGTCCTACAACTCCCTAACGCTTGAGGATCCTCAACCCTGTCTGCAGCTGACCCGGCAGATCCTCAATCTTGACCAACCCCAGCTGCACACAATCGCCCCAGAACAGGAGGGCGCGCTTCTGGGCGTAGCTCAAATAATCAAACTCATCCTCTGCTTCCTCTTCCTCCTCATCCTGAGGCTTGTCCTCCGCATTGGCCAGCCCGGGGACCTTGGCTTGGACGATGCCCCACGCGATCCAGAATGCGCTGTTTGCCGGCCGCCATAGCCGTGTCTCCTCGAGGATTCCGCGGATCTTGTTCTCCGTCTCCTCCTCGCGTTTCTTCTCAGCTTCAGTCCACCCGCCTGGCGGGGCGCGAGCGTCAAGCATGAAGTCAGAGATGGAGTTGGAAGACGGAGTGGGCAAGAGCCCGGGGGTGCTTGTAGCACTACCGCGGGGCGAGAGTTTAGGCGTATTTGTATTTGGGAACTGTGGCCTGTGGTCGATGTATGCCTTGATAAACCGGCGCTGTTCGTCTGGGGTGGGATACATGTCGATATTGAAATCATGTGGGGCAGTCAGATCGTGGTAGTTGTATGCCCACTCAGTGAAATGGTTCGCGAACTCTACGCCAGGCATATTGGCGCCGGCATACTCAAAATCAATGACAATGAGCTGTTTGTGCCGGTTGGCAGGCTGTAGAAGAGGAGACTTGGCATCATCGGGCTTGAACCGAAGAATATTGCCATATTGGGTCTTTCAAATACACTGTCAGTACCTGCATGTTCCAAGGTTCAGAGTGGAAAATAGACATACATCGTTGTGTGCGAAGACTAGACACTTGTTCAAGGTCTCCCTATCGTGGTAATGACTTTCCAAGAGTGCGCGATACTTGGCCATGGTGTCCTTGAACATGGCCCAGGGAACTCCACACACGTATCCTTGCTGTTTCCAGGCATAGACAACCGAGTTCTGCGAACCATTTTTAGAGTTGATACAGGGGTCGCTCTCGAGCTGCTCATCCAGGTGGGTGACGATTCGAGCAACGTTGTCAAACCACTGGTCCCAGCTCTTGAATACGCTTGGGCCAATCTCTCTTTCGTGCTGCAGGAGGTCGATGCCGTCGTGAAGCTCTCGCATACGCTTAGCAATCTGCCGGGAAACTTCAGGATCACGCAAATCGTTGGGAGTCAAAGGTGACGCGTTGAAATACTCTTCGAAACGACCGTTCTTGAAGGTACCTAGCAAGCGGGGGCCAATCTTTTTGCGCGCCAGCCGCTGCAGAACCTTGAGCTCGGTCTCGCGGTCAATAAGATTCTCCACCTGCGGACCATAGATACGGAGAAGCAGCTTTCGTGGGGTCTTGAGGCCTTCCACTTTGGGGTAGTCTTCGGCGGGTGTGACGACGTAGACAGCATTGGTGAGCGCACCGCTAAGACGCTCTACCTCAATCGAGTCGCCACTCCCCAGAGGCACCCGTCGCCAACCCTTGAGTCTAAGGGTATGGGTCGTGCGAATAATTTCATTCTTGAAATCGAGCCAAGCATGTTGTTCACGCCGAGCCCGGCTACCCTCCTCAGCGGGTGAGGTGTTGGCACCTCCGCCCGTGTAGCTAAGAGTCTTTGAGTTGTCAATCCACACATCGCAGTCGGGCACAATAACATCACCGTCGACATAGTCCGTGTCCGAGGAGGCTGAGCGGTGCAGCGATGAGCGGTTAGGCCGATGACTTCGTGGTCGAGCAACGTTGGGCGAAAAGCTAGGGAGAGAGTTCATGCCCATGCTGGCCATGGATTCCTCGAGGATCTTTTGCAGCTTATCGAGAGACACATCGCTGGACTGGGAATCAATTGAGTCAGATCTCGACCGGCCATTCTGAGATGGCTCTGCCAGGGGATCCTGCTTCTCGACGGGGGGCGAAACAGACTTCTGGCGGCGAGGCCTCTTGACCCTACCCGCAATCTTCTTTCGCTCATTCTCTAGCCACTCACCGACCTGTGCCATCAGCTTCTCGCTGTAGTACTGGTGGCGGTGGCGTGGGTGGGAGAAGTGAGAGCCATCGTGATCAATCGGTTGAAGAGACGGGGAGCTCTCTCCGGCGGATGACCTGGATGAGCCGCTCAGCTGGGTTTGGGGCAGCTTGCCGCTGGGCTTCCGGCCAGAGCTTGCGCGGAATTGTCTGGTGCTTGTCAAGACATTTTCCTCGACTATGCTCTCCGGGATCGGCTCCGCAATCTGCACAGCTGAGCATGGTTGTAAGCATATGATCGATCTGATAATGTGTTTGCCAGCCCTGCCAGGCCGCGTCGCCGGCTGCTTGGGCCAAGATAAGGCGTATGGAGCACAGGTCTACTTGATTGCCAAAGATCTAAGCTACATAGGGAAATGACTCCCCCCTTTTTTCCCCTTTCTTCCAAATGCATGGCCCTGAACGGTCAAGTGTGCAGGCGGGGATACAGGATGTAACTAGGGGTTGGGGTTGGGGTGGTATCATCGGTAGCTTGCTGGTTTCTCGGGCCAGCACTTGCAGCCTTGCAGCTCAACCAGAAACTCGGCAATATTTCGAGGCTTTCCCAAACATGCAACAAAGGGTGTCATGGGCAGAGGCAAGCAAACATATGCGACGGAAGAGAACACGTTAAAGCTAGGGAACGAGTTGAGCGAATGGAAACACAAAAGGTACGTACCTTTGAGAGAGCCACTGGCTGGGGGAGTCCTCTCCACATTGTCCTCAGACTTGAGGGCGGACTTGAGTGGCATGGCGAAACGACAAGAGTGACCACTCACTAAGCAGCTAGTTCTTGGGGAGGGCGAGCCAAGAAATTAGAAGAGAGAAGAGAGAAGAAAAGGAACGGAAAGAAGAAGAGAAGAAGGGAGAGGAGAGGGTTAGCTAGAGATAACGGGTAAATAAATATAACTGATAGCCCCAACAAATGGTGGCCAGGCCAGTCGAGTCCGGCCAGGACCAGTCCACTCAAGCCGGAGGGATTAAATATTCAAGCGGGTGCTTGTACGAGAAGGGATCCTGGTCGCGTGGCCCGTTTCTCAAAGGAGCAGGACCCCCTGGTCTCCACTGGTTTCGTGCTACGGACGGTAGGTAGCACAACGAAGAGGAGCTTGGAGACGGGAAGTGATGCACAGCTGGACGGGGCGAGGTGGCGCGAAGCAGAGCAAAGCGGCCCGTTGTGGGAATTGGCCAAGTCAAGACCAGGCGACAGGGTTCAAAGAGCAAAAAGTGGTCTTGTCCCGAGTCGCGGTGAGCGGCAAGGCCGTGGATGACGCCCGTGGTTGAGCGAGACAAAGGTCCTGTCACGCGGCTCAGCTCAGCCAGAAGGAACAAAGCGAGGCAGGAACGGATGTGATGCGGCAACTCGAGGCAACTGCCAACTGTCGAGACTCCACTGAGCCGAAAAAGCTCATGCAGCGACTGGGAATATATCTGACATGGAGGAAGACATGTGGGGGTTGGTCGTGTGCGAGAGGCTGAATGCTGAAGTTGAAGCCTCACCGAGAAAGTTGGGGTTGTGCGGTGCAGCGAATAGGGCGAGGATGGAAGGGGAGAAGAAGATGGAACCGGCTGGACTAGCAGCTGGTAAAAGCCCCCTACTAAAGCCAAGGTAGATTAGCTGGACTGTACCACCCTGCCGCCTCTTGAGTTGTGCCTTGATTAGTCCCAATACGTACGGCAATGATCCGACCCAGATAACGGGCCAGCCTATCGACGGTTATCGTTTGGTGGGTGAAGTGATGCAATCGATGACTCTCTGGACCCCTCACCGACCGTTGCCGTTTCTTGGTTTTTTTTTGTCGTTTTCTTGAATTAATTTTCGGGGGTGGAGCCCACCCCAAGCGCTGGAGTAATAATTGATACTACTTGCTAGGTAACTTCAATGTTAGCACTTTCCTACTCCAATACGACTACCGACTCACGCTATTATCATCAATACAACCTGGTCTCGCAACACGACAACCAACCGCCCCTAGTCGATGCCCCAATATCGGGGTCACCGGCATGATCAGACTTTTTCGCTCTTGGTGATATATCGGATTTTCCCAGCATCCCTACGCCCACGTGCTCCAACATGGCCCTCCCATAGGCTGCGATTTTAACGTTTGTGAGCTGGCGGCATGTCATAGTTCCCATTACCAAACAATCGACTCTTCGCCCTTGCAGTCCCTCTGCAGTGGATTCTTGGCATGCAAATCCCGTCGTTGGCTGTCCCAAAGAGGCAGTCCAGCCTCAATCCATAGCCGCCACGTTATTATAGCTCTGTTTCTAACATGACTCCAACCACATCTACATTTGATACAATGCTCGCGACAGTGGCCGACACATTTCAACGACAACTCATCTCATTCGGCTATGCTGGCATTGAAATTGATTGTTAAACAGGATTATATACCTTGGGGCCTGGGGGCTTGAAAGACATCACATGCCCTGTGTGTCTACATATTTTACACATTCTAATCGTCTAAATATTGCATAGATAGTGTACATGACGCATACCGCTGGATTAAAACACACCGCATATTACGCCCTCCTCAAGCGTATTCTCTCCGCCATGACATCCTCTCTGACCACCTCGCCCAGGCCCACCAGACCCAAGAGGCGTTTGGGCACGTCGAAGATCTCACGGTGGGCATCGACCCCTTCCTGCCGCATAGCCCAGACGACAGCATCCATCGCGTCGTTCACAACCGCGGCCGGCTTGCGCTCGAGCTGCTCCCCCTTGCCATTCCAAGCCCCGGACCGCACCAGGATGGGGATGTACTCCGCCCCGCCCTCCGGCTTGAAATCCAGCACGGCCTCAAGATCCTTCTCCGGGTTGTCGGTGATCACATACACCCGCTGAACGTCGGTCTTATTAATCACCGGCCCCACCAGGCCCTTCTCGGTCATCATGCGCGCGTATGCGCGGAGGATCTGGTCGTGGGCGTACTCGAGGGTCAGCCCGGATAGCTTGCCGACGTGCTCGTATTCGAGGTCCTCGCACCCCGTCTTGGCTCGCCAGACACTCTTCAGGGCTTCTAGGAACGCGCCTGTGCTCAGGCGATTAAGGTGGTATCCCGTCCCGAATTCGAAATCCTCCTCGTTGACCCATATTTTGGGCTGGCCGTCCTGCAGCCACCCATTATTTGCCAGCGCGGTATCGCCGTTCTTGGTGGACACGGTGCCGATATAGCCCTGTTGGGATATCAGCGTGTCAATAATAAGCTGTATCTCGAGGAACCAGTCCCTTGGCTCGTTCCAAACGAAAATGTGGTCGATCTTCAGTTTCCTCTTAAGGTTCGGTTCTCTTTCCTTGTTCTTAGTGCTAGGTTTGAAGGTTGAGGTTCCGTCAGGTAGTGCTTGGGTCTTCGTGCGGCCCTTCTTCCCCGTAACCTTCAATGGGTCAAACGGGAACATTTCTAAATTTTGGTCCAGCAAGTCTGCACCAGTAACGACCTTCTTGAACCCGTACCTGCAGCGCTCATCAGCATGCCATAAAAAGGAGGGGAAGAAAGAACGGATACGTACGATTGAGCAATGTTCCGGGCCTTGTTTGGTTTCCGGCCAGCAATGTATACAACCTGATTCTTCTTAACCTCTTCAAGCATCAGACGCAGAGGCGTGTGTGGGTGGATGATGTTTCCCTGGAATAGGCGATCGTCCTTGTTCGATTTAATGCGCTCCTTGAACTGGTGTTCGGTTTCTGCTTCCAGGGCCGTTCCTCCAGGATCAGCGAGACACATGTATCGCACCATATGCGACTTGATAGCCCTGAGAGCAGGCAGTGAGCCATCGATCCTGGTATTGCCATTGAACAAGACTCCTGAGGCCCTAGGCCATCGTTAGCATTGACCAATGAGCATATTCCCAGTGCAAAGTTGTTGAGCAGAGCGCAAAGTAGGCCGGTGAGGTTTCCGCATACCGAAACAAGAAGGCATAGTCTTTGCTCCGCGCTCGGGCTTCATTACTAAACGCCTTGACGGGACTTCTGTAAGCTGGGGTCGCCGCCATAATGTCAAGAAGCTCGCCCGAAGATGGTCTATCAACTGGCTTAACATTGCCTTGACGTATTTGTCGAATGATATTGTCGATATCCCCGTTCCCGGGAGCTTGGCTGCTGAAGCCCCGTGCGCAGTTCCCACAGCAGCCATTGTTCAACAGCCCGGCGATAGGCCTGGGGCGATGCACATGTGAAGCCACAGAGCGCAATGTCGCGGCCCTCATGATGCTAGTACGCATCACCAGGCGGCGCACCATTGTCACTCAACCCCGCCAGAACGCCTTGTTTCGTACTCTAGCCGTCAGCCAGTAGTCTCATCCCCTTTAATAAACTGTTATTAAAAAGAAAATGACTTCCATTCCGCTCTGGTGTTGTGTTGGTGGACGGTGATTGGGAGTTGCTCGTCAAAAATGCAGATGAAAAATCCGGCCCACACACACACACCCTGTCGCCCAAACAGCCAATGAGCAAGCAACATCTCCAGTATCATGCTTTCCTTCCAACCAACACAACAGCGCTTTTGCGTCGACAACATTCATAATTGTTCAACAAGACATTGAATTGAGTATTGCCATAATGGCGGCCTAAGATGTGAGTCACATCCGCCCAGGGATTTCTACTAGTACAAGGCACATTACATCTGATATACAAACCTGGAGTTACATCATCTTTTTACACCACCTTTACACAGGCCATCCTGTGCCCCCCGGGGCATTAATCAGTTCTTCGCCTTCCAGTCCTTCATGTGGTCAGCAATGAGCCTGGCCCCCTCGTCGGGCGAATGCTGCCTGCCCAATGCTTCCACAAAATCCCCCTCGGGGTCCATCAGGTAGAAATAAATGCTGTGGTCCACCAGATAGTCCTGCCCGGGTTTCACATCCTTGGGCGTACTGAAGTACACACGGTACTTCTTGCAGAGATCCTTGATCTGGTCGTAGGTTCCTGTCAGACCGATCAGGTCATCGTGGAACTCGGAGAGGTATTCCTTCAGAGCGGCGGGGTCGTCACGCGCAGGGTCGCATGTGATGAAGAGGGGCAGAAGCGTATCGGCGGGGAGTTTCTCCTTCACAAGGTCCAGCATGCGAGACATCTTGTCCAGCTCCTCGGGGCAGATATCGGGGCAGCGTGTGAATCCGAAGTAGACCTAGAGTCGGGGAAATACAAGTGTGAGCATGAAGACGAGGAAACCTGCTGCGGTTGGATCCATACGCACCAGTGAGAATTTACCCTTCATCATATCGCTGGTGAAGGGCTTGCCATTCTGATCGATCAATTCGAATGTTCCTCCAACCTTGGGTCTGCCCATGCCCTTGGACGCCTCGGCAATACGCTTGCGCTTCATGCGGTCCTTCTCGAACTCAAAGTACCACACCAGGAGACCGCAGGTGCCCACGAAGAGGATGCCGGACTTCCATGAAAAGGGCTAGATCGAACCATGTCAGATATAATGTTGCATTGAGAGACCCAGTTTCGTGCGAGCATCGGATTCATACCCCGCGACTATATCGGCTCTTGGCCTGTTCGACTGACGTGTATTTCGACCTCCTCTGTACGGTGGGCTGTTGCGACTGCACCGAGACGGCCGGTCGTAGGAGAGCTTTCGATTGCACCGCATTGTTGGTGAAGCAGCGACTGCATTGCCGGAGTGGCAGGCGGGCGAGAATCCCCGACATGGGTCTGGCTGTTGCGAGGATGTGCGACATGGCGAACGCTCGCAGGTGTGGCGACAAAAATGTATGGGCCGATTTTTGGTGATCAGGTTTAGTTGCTGCCAGTCAAGTATCGCCAACAAATTGGTGGGATAGAAGCTCTCAGAGCTCGCTGATTACATATCAATTTCTTCCGAGAATTCCCCGAGCAACAGCGCCCACGGTTACCCTACACCTCCTACAGGAGACCTGCCTAGAGGAACATCAACCAAGAAAACCTTTTAAAATAACAAATTATGAGCGGCTCTGTTAGGGGTTGTTTTGAGCGAGTTTTCTCAAGTGTTATACTGGGTTTCTCAAAGTTCCCAATGTTACTTTACTTGTTCTATTCTTCTCAACGATCACAACTATCCGCCGTGCCCAGGCTTACACAAAAATGTCAGCTACGGACGACATTTTGCTGCTGCCTTGTTTATTTCACTACTTTAATGTCCTGAAATTGATACCAGGGGCCTGCATATGTGGTGATTGTGATACGGGAATGATACACCATTCTCATCAAATGCATCTGCAGTGGCCCAGCCACCCTTCAATGTGTGACGCAATAGTGGTTCGAAACATGACCGAGTACTTCTAACAGTAGTCAACACGACATTCGAAGAGAACATCTCGCAAAATATGCCGCAATAATCCAAGGGAACAATAATGCTAAACAAAAAATAACACGCCGTTATGTTCCACGATGGACATTGCTTAAGATGGAAGCAAGTCCTCGTGGTGAGGATATCTTGTGCTTCTGTCATCAACTTGCCTGCCATCTAACAAGCTCGTTCTTATTCAATTCTTCCACTCCTCTCTTCTTCGTCCATTTCAAATGACAATTCACGATGAGTCTCAAGATCCAGAACCTCAAACTCCTCTACCTAATAGCAACACAAAACTACATCAGAACACTCAACAGCCAACACCAAGTGCATCCGTTTGCAATTCCCACTATGTGGCATGGGAGTCGGCGCCAAATCCCAAAAGTCATTTCTCAATTGGAGACCAGGGCGCCACGGCAAGCATAAATGCTTACGGGCAGATGATGCTTTTTAGGAACTTCTTGGGGGCTGAACCTTCTGGTTTCATTTCTTTGGAACAATTTTACGAATCGATCTCTAAGGTTGACCACTCCATGGCCGATGACTACAATAGGGCCGAGAGGGCCAAACAACTGGAATGGATGTCTCGAAATCCCCTTCCCATGGAAGAGTCTGCATTCGGTCTCAAATTCCCTGGCTTGGAAACTGGGAAAGAGCTCCCTCGTCTAAGTCTGTTGCGGTACAGATGGCCAAGATACCAATACCGCACCGACAAGTGGGAACTGGATATCCATTGGATGATCCACGATGATCATCTGTTGCAACAATGCATTGTTACGAATTTGGAGCCCAGCCACTTGGATGTAGAGTTCAAATTCTGCAATCCTGGCTCTTCCATGGTTGTCCGGGTCCTAGACTTGAATCCAACTGGGCGAGGGTGTTTCCAAAACTCTAGCCGGGCTTGCCCTGATGGGTATGGATGGTTCATATCGACGAAAGAGTTTGTGTCCCGACAAACTGTCCCGAAGAGGAGGCGGTCCTGCTTTCCCAGCAGCTCATATGCTCACCCAACTGAGGGTTTAGCTGCGCCACTTGCCATAGAGTCGGTAGCAGTAGTGGTATCCGTGTTTCTCAATGGGGAGCCAATGAGATAGAAAGCAGCGACATCAGCCTGGACTCATAGGTTGGAAGCAAAGACAAACAACAACATATGTCCTTCTTCAAATACCATGGAAGTTATTGTTGCTTACTGTTTCCGTCATTCAAACAATTTGGATGCGGACTTGGAGACAACTTCGATACCTGTTGCTGCTGTTCAAGTCACCGAGTTTCTAAGAAAAGAGCCTTTTTCACCAATCCGTATATCTGAAACTGACATAGCAAGAAGAGATGATTTCCAAAACTTCCCCAGTCCGGACCCTACTATCAATGGGGTTGACAGCCTCAACGAGAATACTCTCGAAGCTTTCGGAGAGACAGCATCGCCTGATAAACATATTGAATTTCTAATAAGACGACACCTCGAGCACATTCTCTCAGTCTGCGCCATTCCAGTACAACAGTCGCTCCTAAAGCCGGTCGAGGTGGGAACCGCAGGGCCCAAGCCTCGACGAGGCGTCGTTCCCATAGCTTTGTCTTGCGGCGACATGTCGGGGCACGTCATCTATGCCTCTTCAAGTTTGTGAGCTTTAGTTTATCAAGGAAAACATAACATATAGAGCTGACGAGCATATAGTTTCGCATTCATGTTTTTACTTGAAGCTGCCAACAGATTGAAACGTATTCACCCAGCGGATAAGTACGTGTCTGCTATGCTAGTCAGAATTTCGACAGTTTGCGAAGGGCACATGGAGTGGCTCAAACTTGCAGAGCTAGATGAAGGACTCTTTTCACTAGACTATTGGCCGACAGGTAAAACAAGGGTTGTGTACAGATCTTACCTTTTCAGGCATATCCGACTACTTGATAACTCATTTCGCATCATCAAGGCTGGGGAGTTCGCCAAAGTCTATAACGAGCCAAACACTCAAGAACTGGCTCGCGCTATTGTTGACAAGGTTTGGGAATGCTGGGTTGAGAAACTACGACTTTCAGACAAGAGAAGCATATCTGTCTGGCCGCATTGGCTCCCGAAGCGATACGATTTGGGAAATGAGTTCCGATTAAGTGACCAGCTATGGATTTGGAAGGCTCTTAGAATTGCTGAGGAAATGGGAATCTCTCCACCTTCCAACCCTGACAGCCAGAAAAGGGGGGTTTCAGAGCCACCACAATCATTTACGCCTCGTGGCTTACAACGAGACATTGTCAAGCGTTTCACCACTGAGAATCCTCTGATAAAACAACGCACCTTGGCAGTCACGCGTTCAGCGCGCCGGGTCCGCTTCACACTCCATGCGCAGGACACGGTGCTCTTGTATGGCGAAGATTGGGGTTTCTTTCACAGGGAGACGAAGTCCTGGAGCAACCTTATCAATTTACAAAAGATTTGCGTGAGTAATAAAGCTATGGAATGGGATAATGTGCTTCGATATGGCCTGGCTCTTATGATGGGAGTTCGTCAATACTCTATCAGTGGCCAGCATCCGAGAGAGCTGACCAAGTCTGCATTCTCCAGGTTGATAAATGTTTCAGGCCAAAATGGCTTCTTTCCGGGGAAACTGGATTTTGAAACCAACGAGCCGATACAGCCTCAAACGTACAGAGATGAAGTCTTGTCCTTCAATACTAGTTTCCAAATTCCGTTCATCTTGTTTATGAATGCTCTCCAAATTTCCGAGGCCTACCAGGGACTTCGGAAGATCGATTATGAGCTGCCGATGTCCGATGAGCCCAATAATATGTGTCTTAAGATGGAGTCTCCTATTCAACTTAAGACAGAGAAATCCGATTCGAAACCCAACTCAGAGGCAGCCTGCTGGCTTGAAAAGTACTCACTTTTGAGTCCTCAAAATGACCCGATGAATATCATCGGCATCTATGAGGAAGAATGGCTATACGACTATCCTAGGTTTTTCTCTTCGGAAAAATTAATGAGCCAAGAGGATTTTCGAGATACTGTAGAGGAGATGCGAAAATACAAATTTGGTTACCCGTGCAGCACTATTACCAGAGGGATAGAGGAATATCTCTTAAAAGTGAGGCAAGACCCTCGATTATCAGAGAAGGGAACGAACTCGCCAGTTCCAGGTTGGGGTGCTTTCGACGATGTCTCCGAAACGGCTACGGTATTTGATGCTGCCAAGAAAAGACCAACAGGAAAGATTGCGACCCCCATCATACGACAGCTCAGTGATAGTTGCTGCTCCGAGTTACAAGCAACGAATTTGGCATTATGGAAGCATATTGGGGGGCCGCGTGATGCTCTGTATGCGAAGAAACGTTTTATCTGGCTGTATAGAGCAGACAGGGGAACCGCATTGGCATGTTTTATGAGCAACCCAGCGTTTCGTCGAGACATCATCAACGGCTATTTTGACCGTCATAGCCAATACGAAAAGTTTTTTTCCGAGACAGTTGACAGGCTGTCTAACATCTGGATGACTGAGTTTCATCTTAGCTTTCATAGGTTGCTCAGACCTGGTGAATTAAAGGATGCGGGTATTCCGGAGCGAAGGGAAGAAACACTTCCTGGTCGGAAGAAAAAACAAATTGTTAAGTGCTCAATAGGTTTCTATTTCACAGGCGACTTTTTTGACAAACATTGGACCTGCTATTTGGTTCAGTACCCCAAAATGGAAGCCGGATCCCTATTAGTGCCGTGTTCTCATTTTGATCTGGATAGAGGACGTCTTTGGAGCCAAAGAAAGATCCTAGAGCTACGGCTATTCGACAGAATTATGACAAAACTGCTGGAGGGTGCAACAGAAATATACAAGGAAATTGCAAGTGAATTTGGATTTCGCAATGATGTTTTCACCATATCCATTACCGACAGTGAAGACTATTTCTCAAGAGATTGGCTTCGGCTTCAACATATGCTGGAAGCAATCGAATTGGACCTCACAGAATCGACAAAAATCATTCAGAGGTGGGAAACTCGTGTTAGCGACAGAGATGGGCAACACCCTCGATGGACCGAAAAGCACGAACGCAAATACGGAGATGAGGTCAAATTTTGGACTGGGGTCACGAATGGACAGATAAAGGATCTCCAGCACTTACTTGACAAAATAAGGGCCTTGAAAAGTTTGTCATCATTCAAAGCCAGGAGCATGTCCGAGGTGACTTAAGTTTACGTGGTGCTGAAAACATTCGCTTTTTCACTTACGTGACCGTCATTTTCTTACCTCTGAGTTTTTCTGCCAGCGTTATGGGTATGGATGGTGCACCGAGTGGCAGTTTGATGCTCAGCATGATAGTTTACGCCACTGTATCACTTGCTCTCACATTCATCGCTTTGTACAACGCCGCACCGGTTGGCAAGATTCTCAGGAAGGTCTTCCAAAGTTATTACAAATCTTTTACCAACACGACAATGCAGCAGAGCTCTCTGCTGCGGTTTCCTAAATTTTCGTCTCCCTCAGACCTTGACAGGGACGAGTTGAACACAAACGAAGCTGGCGTTGGGTCAGAGAAAAATCTCACGGGGCATCCAAGACCTGAAGAAGATTATAATGCCCATTTCTGGTTTTGGTTTACTTATATTGTGATAGAACTGCCCGCAAGACGCGTCATATCAGGATACAATGCCCTGAAAGATGGATCTCTTGACTGGAAAGCATTCTACCGCGTCCCAATCGCAATAGTTATGCTGCCGGTATGTTTGTTCAGCTTTGCAATTCGAGTTGCGTTCTATAACTTGATAGACCTGTTGAAGCTTACAGGAGGCAAGTAAAATATCCCACCCCAATTGAAACAAGTTTTAACTGTACTTCAAGGTTGGGTTATCTGGTTCTTCTTTTCGCCTTATACCGAGAACAACAAAGAGTCCCAAGAGCATTTCAGGTGGTTGATACAGCCCCCAGAATACGTCCGTCCCTTGCAAAAGATTCACGATAATATGGAAGAAATGAGAAAGACGTGGGACAGGGAACGAGCGGGAGGAGAGGAAGATGGCAAGCCAGATGAGAAACCAAATGATCAGGTTCACCCTTAACTTCCCAACCAGCGGAATATTCTCAAACAATTTTTCTTCTTGGGCATTTAAACGGGCTTTCTTGACTCAATAGTTTCAACCCATAATCAGAGCAATGACAAATTCGGAGACAGGTTTTTGAACTCCGGTGTCATGGACCCCAGAATTCGCCCAATTTCGTACCCTTTCCAGCTTTCGGGATGGCCCGTGAGAGATGTTGCAGGAGTATGTATGCCAGGGTCAAACTACTAGAGAGTATTAGCGTTGAGGAACTAACCCAAACCTGTTCGATAGTGGTCAGCCTCTTTTCTACGTTGATTCCCGTTTGAAGCCGCTAAGATCCTCCTACGTCATCTTACTCTTCCTTACCTACGGAGCAGACGAGGATGTTGAAAATATTTCCCTTTTAGGAATTCACATGTTTTCAACCTTTTTGTTAAGTATATACTCGTAGTCCAACCCCCCAATGTCTGACCCCCCTTTGTAACTTCAACTGGCACACAACTAACCAACGGGCGATCAACACCAAACCATGGGCCAGCAGTACTCCCACCCCCAACCAGGCAAGAAGCTCCAAGTGATCGGAGCCGGCCTCCCTCGCACCGGCACCGCATCATTCAGCCGCGCCCTGGAAATCTTGCTAGATGGTCCCATCTACCACGGCGGCACCCAGACCACCCTCGGTCCCGAGGTCGAGATCAGGACATGGATCAAGGTCCTGTCCGGCTGGCCCCCCAAATCGGAGGCCGAGCACCGCGAGAGGCTCGAGCTCGTCAGGCAGAGGACGGACGGCTACTCTGCCATCACCGACTCGCCGGGGTGCAGCATGGTGTCTGAGCTGATGACCCTCTATCCCGACGCGAAGGTGGTATGTACCACCCGGAACATGCACAGCTGGGAACAGAGCATGCAGGTCGTGGCCAGCGCATCAACAAAGTGGTTCTTGCGCTTCGTGCTCTTCCCGGTCCCGTCGATGCGCCACTTCCCGGACTATATCGACGGTCTCCGCGACCAGTGGATTCATTGCTATGGAGAGGCGGAGCCACCGACGATTCAAACGTACCAACGGCATGTCAATTGGCTGAAGGAGAATGTGCCTGCAGATCGGCTAGTGATGTTCGATGTCAAGGACGGGTGGGAGCCCCTGTGTCGGGCCTTGGAGCTTCCTGTCCCCGAAGGCGTCGAGTTTCCGAGGATCAATGATTCAAAGGCCATAGAGGAATTCTCAAAGCAGCAAGTGATGAGAGGACTGAAAAGATGGTGTTTGATTCTGTCGACCCTGGGGGCTGTTGGCTTTGCCTTACTTCGTAGATGAGACACTGTACCGTATCTCTAACAGTACTGACATCCTCAATGGCTCAATACTAGGTAATTAGCTTTGGTCCTTTTCAATGCACATAATGGATAGGCATCATCCACCGCCAAGGCAGCTGTGGACAAGCAAGAGTTGAGTGATAACCACCATGTGGTCATTTGCGGATTGCCAAAGAAAAAAAATAGCATACAAATGGTCATCCTCGAAAGACAGAGGTGACGATATGTTTGGAGGGAATCGCTATTAGAATTAACTGCGTTACCGGGTACCATTAGCATATCTATGAAACTCTTCGCAAGAAACTTGTTGATCTTCCTTAATTCCTGCTGTTTTACCCATTTCTACATCACCCACCCCATCCATGGTTCCGCTCGACTCTGGTAATGTCAGTGTTGATGGCGTCGACCCTTTTCTTGCTCCCTTATCCTGGTCCCGAGCCGCTCCTGAATTCATTGAACGCTTCAAGCCATCCCTAAGCGCTTCATTTTTATGGCTAGAGCGAGCAGGTCGCAACGCAAGCCACTGTCTAAGGCGGCCGGTTGTTAGCGCCATTGCGGTCCTTTCATTGGCAATATTCTCGGTCAATCCCGAGACTGCACAGATTTGCTCAATTCGAAATGAGTCGTTTCCATGGTGATTGCACATACAAGCTCCTCTTCGGTTAGATGCTTTGACAATCTTGCCAATCAGTTCAGCCATGGAGAGCTCAATGTGAAGCTTGACTAGATATGCGAGTGGGTGAAAGCTAACATATCTAAAATTATGTTAATCAAGAGATGGTTACTAGCGGATACAAAGGATTTGCTAACAGGAAAGTATTATCGAGAGACATCATCGCGATTATGAGTACCTAGACTTGTTAGTTATAAGTGAGATGGGTAGATGTATATAAAAGCCGGAACGTACATCCATAGATAAAGAAACCGCGATCATAACGAGGTTGAAGCGATATAGCCGCACGTATTTGGTAAGTCCGTATGCGATGAGGCTGGAACGGACAAGATAGACAAAGTAGACGTTCAGGCAAAGATCAATAACGGCGAGGACTGCTTTTTCGGCTCTATCCCAGTATCTGTTGATGTTGATGTATGTTTCGGATATCTGGAGACGGCTAGGGATCCATATACAAGCCACGGCTATGTTGATAATAAGAACGATGATAAACACAGACCACTTGAGGCGGTGGATGAATGGCTTGTTGACAGCGATCAGACCGATACGATTAATGATTATTTGTAGGATGCAATGGGTCTGGAAGAACCAGAGGAAAACTGGACAGATGTTAGTGGCGGTTTGATCTCAAAAAGCTCAGACAATATGGTTGGCTAATGCCAGAGGAGCACTCACTGGTCCCTGTATAGTACCAAAAGCTGCGTCATGAGGTTCAATTAGTCTTAGTACTAAAAACGAAGTGAGGGCTGCTGAGGGCAGAGTTAGACCAACCTAGGCTGTATAGTTTGTCGCATATATCCCCAGGCTGTTCCTCCGATAATAGCGCTCGATATGAGCTCGAGCCAGATAAAGACCATATATGCAGTGACACTGTGTTTTCGAATCCATTGGTGATAGGTCTGGTTCGTTGCTCGGATGATAGCGAAGATAGTGAGGCCAAGGGAGATGCCCCATATCACACTGGCAGTGGCGAACTCATCTGGAGTTGGCGCATTGTCGACAAACCAGGGCGGAATCAGGGTCCCCGGCATCGTGACGGTCAGGATATTCAACACGGTCGATCAATGGTCGTACCGACGTGGCCGGGGGCTGGCGTCAGAACGCCAAGTGAAGTGTGATCATCGAACAATATATGTGCCAGTGAACAATGGCCGATGCTGGAGTAGACGGAAGAAGCGGGAAGCCAAAGGCTGCTTGTTGGGCAGCTTTGTGAAGAACACCTGTAGTATTGTCTTTCTCCCGGTCACTCCAGTATGCGTAATGAAAGAATTAAATAGTAGGAGTCGATACCAATTTAGGAGGCTGTTTAGGTGTAGCGCGCAGTCACGAAGGTAGGAGGTAAGATGCGAACGGAGAAGAGGCAGTAGGTGTACGGCGAGCAGCGTGAGAATTACAAGATTGCCACATGGCTAGGTCGGCAAGATTGGAGGTGTTGGGTTTTTAAGAATTGAGAGTGTAATGCTTTTTTTAGTTAAAATAATTGTCCATGCGACAGTCCTCTCTTAGTTTGCCGCCACACCTAGCGGGATGACGACGCGAGGAAGATAGGGAGCAGCCAGGGAAGGAGGGTGTGCGGGAGAGCAGGCAGGTGGCATCATAGCGCGATCTGTAAAAAGAAATACCTATCTGCGGTTAGGATGAGGCGAAACTTATTGGGGGCAGCGAAGAAGTACAGTGCAGGGCAACGTCATGGGCTAAGATCATATATCTCGTCCTACTCACCTAGACGAAACACCATCACGGCACTCGGGCCATTGCACTACAGCACTCACAGAAGAGGCGTCCCCTGCGTTAGGAAACCCACGGAGAGCAGCAGACGTTGGGTTTCCGGAAGCGAGAGATGGATGTTGAGCGAGTGGATACAGCTATCCAAGTGCCGACGCCAGCACGAGCCGATTGGCACTCAAAGGTCTTTGTAGGCTCTTTGTTCAAAGGCAGTTACTGGTCCATTTACCGATCTAACAGATCTAGCAAATCTCAGCCGGCCGTACCGACAGTGGGCCAGCGACAGTATCTTGATGTAATTGCTGGCGGCCATTGGGGCAAACGCCCGAAAATCGAGTATCCGGATACTCCGTCTCTTCTCCAAGGCAAGGCGACCAAATAATAGCCACTGTTCCATGGAACAATTTGTTCCCATCACCACTCATACGGTGGCTGGTGTCAACAGAAGTGTGTCGTTGTAGCTAGAAGGTACTTGCATACAGTTGCCGCTCTAACAGGATCAGTCTGTCTTGTTCGAAGAAACTGCGCGTCCACCTCTTGCCTCCCAGTGCTCACTGCAGCCGTTCTCTTCCGAATATCCAATTAACAGGCAGAGTTGGCCTTTATTTCGCTTCTGGTGCTACTAGCTGGATTCGCCGTGTTCGTGTCTCATTAGTGACGTAACGTCTGGTTCCCAACCGACAACCCATTATGTAAACGGAGAGGCAGGCGTGGCTAGCTTCCGGTCTCGAATCGGAATCCCAGAGGCTCGAAAGCCATGTACGTATGATCTATGGTAGGATGGCTAGTGGCAAGCAATATTTGATTGATTAGATGAAGATACGGTTGAAACGGGCTTTAATGTGCACAAAAAATTGATGAATCACAACTGCAGATCGAGAAAGGAGAATACTCAGGGTTGTAAGACTTGTAATGCATGCCTATCTTATGTTCTCATCCGAACTTCTGTCAGATTTCTTTAGTCGCCCTTCAGTTTAGGATGCTTCAACGGAGACTAAACAGCACCTTGCACGAAATGAAAGCGGATATCATGCAGAAGTTGTTCGTTCTTATTCCTTCATTAATCCTTCCCCTGACCTTTAAGTGCTGCCCGAAACGACGTATCAATCCAGGCCAGCCAGTCCCTTTGGTCTTTCTGTGGCCGCCAACCAAGGTCTATTGCCTTGTCCGGCTTTGTGTTGAATCTAGTACCGATCGTCAGCCTATCAAGAAGAAAACAACGGTGATGAAATATCTCGCTGACCTGGAACAATATCCCATCCTCAGGTCTCCGACGTCTCCTCCAGACCATCGTTCGGCGGCCTCGTTGATACTTATCGCCTTGGGGGCGGCAGAAACCAAGTGAGAGTCTCTAAATCCGATTTCGCCAATCTTTTCCGTGGTTTCTTGCCAGCTATGTGTACCGGCACTGCAAAAGTATATCCCTTCACTCACAGAATTTGCTGCATCATCATTAAATAGTTTATCGAGAAGCACCACGTACAGCGCAGCAAGGTCAGCAACATGAACATATCCCACGATACCATCTTCGTTTCTGATGTAAGCCGCTTGGCCGTGCTTCAGAGCATCTCTAGCCATATCTTCGATCTGCGGCGTAGTCTTTGCGAACAACCCGGTGCCGGAGCCATAAACATCCGGGGGCATGATAATATGTGCCTTCACCCGCGAACCAGCGACGGCCGACATAACTCTGAGGTCAGTCGCACGCTGTGAGAACGGCCTTTGAGCCTGGAGTTTCTCCTCGAGCTTTATGATATCATCATTATCTGTGAGTTCCAGCACCTGCGCACCGAGATCGGCGAGAGATGCCTCAGCAAGGTTCCATGTGCCAGAGGTCTACGTTGATTCGATTAGTAAACCCCAAAGGTAAAGAACGCGGAGGTCCGCGTTTCACGAGTAGGTCTGAAATGAAGAACGAACATGAATATAACAAGAATTCGTGCTCCTCTTTTTTAAACCAGCGATTAACGCTTCTGCGGAGGCTGTGTGAAACCCCGAGGCAGTGTGAATAGCCACGTCATGCTCGCTTGCAACGCGTTCCAAAAGCTCCAGGTCATCTAAACCACTGAATATCAAAGGAGTGACACGGCTTGAGACGAGTTTGTCGGCCTGCTCCTGTCTACGCACCAGAACCGTGATCGAGATGTCCCGGATGCGGTGAGACTGAGATGCGAGCAGTGTGGACAAGACGGTGCCGCCTCTATCAGATGTGAGTTGCCTGGAGCGGGAGAATACCCAGGAGGAAAGGGGAAGTTACATGTATCCCGTCGCCCCAGTTAAGAGAACTTTCACTCTCGCCATCGTAGCACCAGTCAAAGTAAGTAGATTTGGTCTTGGGATATATTATTCTGAAAACTCAGTGCTAAAAGGCTCATGAGTCACCCAGCCAGATAAACCGAAGAATCCGAGGTGAAATGCAGGTGGAGACCAGTCAACTCAGCTTTCCCATCCCCGAACGGCCCATGAATTCATCAGTAGAATGGAGCAATGGGCACCGTCACAGGTGCAGTAAAAGTATGGGCAAATTCAGGAGTGCTCAGGCCAGACGGCAGCTCTGCCAGAACCAATAAGCTAAACAGGCTCCATAGACCCAACCGTCACTCTTCAGCGTAGCATCGTCCAGCCACGCAGGGTCACCTGAGCAAAATCAAAGAAAAAAATCAACGAAAATGTCATTAATGGATATTTATCTCAGATTCTAAATTGTAATCAGTTCGCATTTCCAGCTGCTCGGAGAGCTCAGTGAGGCCCCACGTGACACGGGTGGACCAGTCCCGATATGGCAATTCGCCCCATCGAAAAATTAAAGACATCCAGAAGGCGCGACGTGTAAGTACCTGCCGGGATAATTAGATTGGTTCCTGGACAGAACTGAGAAATAGTATCATCAAAAGGGTGGAAGTGAGAGACCGACAAATACCTGGAACAGACCGGGTTTCAGCGGACACCATCCCCCGCGTTTGCGTGCAGGACGATCATATCTTTACATCATATTTGTCAGGGTTTTGTTACGTTGTACCGAGCCTGAGCTCGAGTCCTGTATTCATATTTCGTTGGCCACCGTTGTTCGGCAAGTCGCGACTTGGGTCAAGGGGTGAGAACCCGGCCAGCCAATCCGTTTGTTTAACTACAACCCGCCGTAATGGAGAAGCCAAACCCCTCGCCGCTACCGGGCGATGAGCCGGAGGCAAAACTCACAGAACACCAGTCTAAATCCGGGACTCCTGTGGCCGCCAGCTCACCTCTACCTCAGCCAGCCCCTTCTGCGGACAGCAGGTCAGCATCACAACAACCACTCCCATCAACAGAAACTGGTGATTCTGCTGCCACAATGGGCACTCTCTCCGGTGGGATTAAGAAGAAGGGAACCGCTAAGAAGGCGCCCAAACGACCAAGGAAGAGCGGACCCAAGAAGGCAGCCAAGAAGGCCAAGCCAACACCAGTCCCAGGAGCCAGCTCTGCAGCCGAGGATAATGATGATGAGGATGATGATGATGATGATGAGTCTGACCACGGGCCATACTGTATTTGCCGGGGTCCTGACGACCACAGGTGGATGATCTGCTGTGAGAAGTGCGAGGACTGGTTCCACGGGGAGTGTATCAAACTCAGCAAGGAAATCGGGGAGTCCCTCATCGAGCGATTCGTCTGCCCCAACTGCACCAAGGAAGGTCTGTCCACCATTTACAAGAAAACCTGCGCGCTGGGGGCCTGTCGCAAAGCAGCACGGCTCTGGCACGACGACAGAAGCGTCTTCTGCTCAAACGAGCATGCACAGGTGTGGTGGGAGCGCTTAGTGTCAAGACTTCCCAAAGGAAAAGCAAAGAACGGCCTAAACGACCATTTATCGCAAGACGAGTTTATGGCACTCATCACTAGCGATCTATCGGGCGTTGATGAAAATGGGCTTCTCACGCTGGTTAAAAAGCCATTTCAGAAGGAAACGACCAAATTACAGGATGCAAATGGCAGCAGTGAGTTTCAGCCAGCTTCACCATATTACGTGTCTCACTTTCAGCTAATTAAGTGTTCTATAGCCCCTCAGGAAGATTTATCAGAAATTCTCACGCAAGAGGAAAAGGCCATTCTGGAAGATGCAGCAAATACTCGTTTCCACCTAGCCGAAGATACTCTCTTATGTCACAAGATGCTAACACTGATTGAGTTGGCACAGGAGCGTCGCAGAAAGGTGATCAATGCCGGTCCCTTTGGTGACGATATGTGCGGCTACGATCCACGACTCGACACAATATCCGCACGAGACGCATTTGCGGCCTTTGTGAAGAGTCCGGAGGGCGAGGCCATCTTCCAGGCTTCGGAGCTTGGAAAGGCTGAGTGGATATGCGAGCGCAAGAGGTGCAAGGTCCACGGCGGCTGGCAAAAGATGCTTGTGCTTGGTATTAAACATCAAATTCGCGAGATGGCAGGTCAGGCCGCAGAAGTTAGTGAAGAAGAAAGGATTGTTCGAGATGCCGCCGGGGAGCGGTGGAGGAGGAAGAAAGCCGAGTGCAACTGGGTGGAAGTACTTGACGGAGCGTAATTCATTAATACCATCACACAGAGGATCTGGAACTTTGACGAAAGAGATAATTGGCATCCTCTTCACGAAATGGGACTGGCGTTAGTTGGATAATAGCAAATTAGCTCAGGCTTCAGGTACTTGTTTCGTTCATTCATTTAACCAAGTAAACGAACTTTCATGAATAGAGTCCATGGTCAAATTCACCCACTCAGTGAGTCCCAATAACATGGAGCAAGGCTAATCCACGCCCGCCGCTGTGGTTGCGCCTTGATAAATGGCGGGGCAACTGTGACGCATTTCTTATCACCCCGCAGCCAAAAGAAAATTTGGCTGCGATTCTCGAGGCAAAATTTTGGCCGTATCTGCTTATCAAGCAAACCAAACGCAGCTTCTTCTATTGTCCACTGCCTGAATAAAAGTTGCCATCGCCCTGGTTCTGGAACCCAAGGGTAGATATATAAAGGCTTCAGATACTCCTTCTTTTTTATCCTCTAGTTTTACTATTACCAATCCAGATCGCAAGGACCGTCACAATGGCCGACCAAAATCAACCCCGCGACCGCGAGGAGGACCTTGAGGAGATGCTCGCCATAGACGATGCCGCCGAGGAGATTGAGCAGGGCGACGACATCCCTATGGACTCAGACGACGAGCAGGAGGAGATCCTCCTCCAAAACGACTCGATCGCCTACTTCGACGTCCCCAAGGACTCCCTCTTCTCCATTGCGCAACACCCTGTCCACCCGTCCCTCATTGCTGTAGGCGGTGCTGAGGGTGCTGATGAGGACGCTCCCGGCGCCGGCTGGATCTTCGACACCTCCGCTGCCCAGTCCAGACCTGTACTTCCCGCAAGCTTCGCCAGCGACCCCGATGCCGCTGCCAACCTCCAGACCACACAGCTCGAGAGCCTGTTCGCGATCGAGGGCCATTCCGACTCGATCAACGCCCTGACCTGGACCCTGCCCCAGGGTGAAGTCCTTATCAGCGGCGGTCTCGACGGCAGAATACGAGCATGGAAGACGGAGGTGAAGCCCGGCCAGGCCCTCAAGGTATCGCTCCTCGGCGAGGCGCAGGAGGTTCCCGAGGTCAACTGGGTGGTGCCTTGCCCGAGCACCACCAACCCCAACACAATCGCTCTTGGCTCTTCAGACGGCTCCGTCTGGGTCTACACCGTCGACCCCTCCGACCCATCCAACGCTCTCCAGATCGTCCAGTCCTACTTCCTCCACACCATGCCCTGCACAGCCGGCGCATGGACCCCCGATGGCAAGCTTCTAATCACTGTCTCCGAGGACACCAGTCTGTACGTTTGGGATGTGTGGGGTGAGGCCGCCGCCAAGGGCCTGACAAGCGACAACGGCATGGCCTGTGTCTCACTCACTGGTGAGGACCAGCGATTCGAGGTTGAGGGCGGTCTCTACTCCCTCGCCGTCGACCCCAAGGGTGCATTCGTCGCAGCCGGCGGCGCAGGCGGTGCCATCAAGGTCGTCTCCCTCCCCCGTCTCTCCGGCAACGCCCAGTCGCAGGGCCGTGGCAAAGGCAACAAGGGTGCCGCCGACCCTACAAGCGGAGGTCAGATCCTCGCCTCCCTTCACACACAGTCCGACAGTGTCGAGACCCTGGCTGTGTCTCAGGCATCTACTACTCCACCAACGACACTCCTTGCTGCTGGGTCCGTCGACGGATCCGTCTGCGTGTTCGACGCGACCCGCCGCTTCGCCGTGCGAAGGCACATCATCGGCGCTCATGAGGAGCACTCCGTTGTCAAGGTTGAGTTCATCAAGGACTCGTGGGTACTGACCAGCTGCGGCATGGACGGCGTGGTACGGAGGTGGGATCTCCGCGGTGGTGCTGCGGGCTCTGGCGCTGCAGATGCTTCAAACTCCGGCTTAGTGAAGGTATGGAAGGGCCACCGAGGAGATGGCGAGGGCGGCGGTGTTCTAGGCTTCGTACAGGGCGAGACAGGTGAGAGAGTGGTTACTGCAGGCGATGATGCAGTAGCGCTTGTTTTCGAGGCATGAATGATGATGGGGGAAATATAAAAGTTAAAAAAAGAAATGGAAAGGCAGGTCGGATGAGCATGATTGCATGACTTTAGAATACCTCTAGTGAATATATAAAGAGCAAGGGTTCGTTCAAGAAACCCCAAAAACATATCAACTCAACCTCCTCAGTGCCTGGCCTCCAGATGTGATGTATCTCGGTGCCTGTTGTCATAATGCACGATAGCATCAAGAGATCTGTGGGGAAGACATCTTAAACCGGAATCATATGGCAATCGGATTTTGCCCATCTCGGAGATTTTTGCTTGAAAGCAAGGGGAAAGCGAATCATCGATCCATGCTCCCTGACATCCGCTCTGAGTGACGCAGTGAGCCGCGGTCCTTATCGGCGCTTATCGGCGCTTATCGGGCATCGACGCTTTTTTAGCCATCTGCACCAAGAGTGAGTTTTTCATGGAGCATTGAAGACAGCTCCGACGACGTAATTCCCCTCTAATACCAACTTCAGTCAATCACCAACAGTCCCGAGCGCATCGCATTAGACGCCACCCCAGTCGCTACCCAACCCAGATTCCCACTTCCAGTCAACCAACCCATTCGTCAAAATGTTCGGAGGATGTGAGTCGAAAACTCCCATGATTGCCAGGCCAGGGCACGAGCGCGTTGGAAATACCAGATAAACTGACTTCGAGACGACAGTCGCCCCCCCTCAACAATCCCAGGAGGAGATTCGCGCCATGGAGGCCGAGGCTGCCTTCACCGTCCAGCAAGTCGCTGCCACAGCCTTCCTCCTCTACTTGTGTACGTCACCCCGGACCAACGACGAAGACGGTCTATGCGATAGCGAAACTAACAAGGACACGTCTCGCAGCTCCCTTCGCCATTGACATGGTTGGCAAGATTTTTTAAATATGTTTTACCTCAAGCGGATACGCGGATAGCATCAGAAAGAAGCAAAGAAAGCAATAAATGTACGACGACCTAGGCTCGGGGATTATAAAGTAATATATGAACGGACCTTATGAAGCAAATCCGGGCCGGAAAGACAGGCCCGCCCTTGTACGATAGTATCAGGAACTTGTCCAGGATAGGACACTGGGATCAAACTCAATAGAACTCGACAATTGTACAATATTCATTCAGTCTCCAAGCATGAGATGTGTTTACCTATCAAGGGATACATGATAGCTTCAAATAACCAGGCCGCCAATCAGGGTCGGCTGCTGCGAGACCCTTTTAATATCCTCCCCTCTCTTTTCAGCAAGCTCACACTGCAAAAAGGCGTTGGCGAAATTTGGGCCGGTCCAATTAGGGTAATCGTATCGTCACTTCATTGCCATGCCTTGCAACACACACAAAGTCCGGGGTAAACCTGCTGGGTTTATGAACATAAGGCTCCTATCTCTTAGTTGCTTGAGCGGATTCAGCAGAAGGGGGGGACATGACGTATATCAAATCAAGATTATAACTCCGATGTCTGGTTACGATTGACTGCGATTGAGGAGAAGTATACAATGGTCAGTCAATGAAGCATTGATGAGGCTCTGGTTCCATTATTAATAATAGCCCATACCAGTTGAACTATCCTTGCCCAGGAACCCTTTGACAAACTCCATGTGTTGCTCGACTAACTCGACGTCGCAATAAACCAACCATTCGCCAATACCCAATATTCTAACACCCAGGCCATGGGTTGCCGAGTTACCTCAAGGCAGTCCTGCTCTTTTCCCACTCCCCATAGTCACCATTAAGTGCCTCCAATTCTTTCTTCAGGTGCTGAAGCTGCTTCTCGTAATCCTCCAAAATCTGTTGGGAAACTTGGTTAGCAAAATACAACATGAATAGTCCAGACCTGGTTCCAAAACTTACCCTCTTTGCCTTGGCCTCGCTCTCTTCATCCAGACCGCCATCCTCTCCATTGGAAGGCTTCTCTTTCTCCTTATTCAGCTGGTCGGCGTAGTCTCTCAGCACAATCAGTCGGCTCCAAAGCTCTTCCTCCCGTGCCCCCACCGCAGGGTCCATAATGTCCCTCTCGAGTCCTTGGAGCCTCGAGCTGAGGTCATCCTCGTCACCACTCAGTGCATATCCTCTGTTGCGCAAGACCTGGACACGGGCAGCCAGTGCCATACACCGCTCGCTTATCGCTGTCTGTCGTCTCCGGGCTGCCAAGGCGCGCACCTCTGTCTCTAACTCGTGGCGCTGGAGGATAGCATCCAAACTGCCGTTGACCTGGTGTAGTCGCGTGTTGAATTCGGAGATGGCTCGTTTCTGTGTCTGCAGACGGTCCGCGAGTCCCTTGTAGCCGGAGCACAAAACGGGCATGAAACCCGGGGCGGGCTTATTCTGGAGAGCTTCCTCCCACTCACGCGGGTCTTCGAAGGGCTGTGGCTTGTAGAAAGGGATGTGAGCTTCGTCGACCTTGTTGTAGAAGTAGTGCTTGAAGACGCAATTCGGGTTCGCTGGGTCCCATTTTTCTGTTACCAGCTTCATCTGCTCGAGTATCGGCTTCTGGTCTGCATGTTCTCATCTGTTAGCATTCATGCTCCTGCCATTGATCACCTTAGTCTGCGGATGGGCTCTTACGGGGTGTTTCCTTTCCAGGTTGCCATAACGAGCTCGATAGCTGGGCCTGGGACTGGGATAAGGTTGGCATCTGCTGCGCTTGCTGCTGCTGTGGCACTAGCAAGGAACCCCCGAGCGCATTTGTCTGTTGTTGCTGTTGCGGTTGCTGCTGTTGAGGTGCACCCAAGGTCTGACCGAAAATGCTCCTGTTTGGTTGGGCAGGTTGCGCCGTTTGTGCTGTTTGCGGCTGGCCAAACAAGCTCAAGGGCTTCGCCTGGGTTGTGGCGGCTGGCTGGCCGAAAAGAGACATCGTGGCAGCTTTTGTTGTTGTTGTCGTGATGCTTCGATGGTCCTGGAGCTCTGACTGGAACAGCTCGATAAACGGATGCGCTCAGCGTCGAGGTGCTCCGTTCATCTGTCTTCCAGTAGAGTGAACCGGATGGCTTGACCGACTATTGAATAGATTTGGCGATCAGAGTGGATTTTTTGTTATGTCAAATCGCCCTTTGGTTGAGTTCACAAAGCTTATCGTTGTTGGAACAATGGATGTTACTTTTTTGTATATTTTCTCCCAGGCACAACACGGCCTGTCCAGATTTCCCTAGCGAGGCGCGTCTGTGCTGCCACTAAGCCTAACCTATAAGCAGGTGGCCGACCTACCCTGTAGCATTTCTACATGTTCTACATCTCACTCGGGTTCGTTGAAAGTGATCATTGGAAGGGAAACGGCTGCGCCGATAATTTAAATTTATCGACATGTTTCCGTTGAGGAGTCAGTGAATCCTTTAGGGGTCATATATCTTCCCAGTTTGATTCTCACATGTGCTGGATGGATCTTGGGAGCTTGTCTAAACTTCTGAGCCAAGGATGTACAAAGACGATTTGTTCCTAGGAAGAACATAAGTAAGATCCGTAGGACACTAGTAGATATAACACCAAAATGCATCAAGGAGTTGCTTAATACATATGCTTTAAAAATACTTCACAGATGACCTGAGAAGTCATGTAAGCGCTCGTTAACCTCGAGTTATCAAGAGGCTCTCGTCGAACGCACCGGCATTATCTCGGCTGATTACTAACCCAGGATATTGGCATTCCTTGGGCGTAGGTCCGGCCAACCAGCCAATCACGGCACTCCAATTCCAACTTCACATCAAATCCCAATCCCGGGATTCCTAACCACCATTAGATCAACTTAATCTCGCGGATTGGCAGCTCACGAATCGCCAAAATGTCTACTCGAAGGCCCCAGTATGTACTGACCTCCTGAACGGGTGTCTTTAGACTCCGCTGTATCGATGATGCGGCACAATGGCTGCCCAGCCCAGGACCATGCGACTAATAGTTCCCTCATAGGTTCAACCAGACCCTCCTCATCGACACCACCCCCCTCCCCGACGACATCCCAAAGGTCCAGGAGGTCGGCGCCAGTTCCGCGCCCCTACTATCCGCTTCTTACTTCATCGGCGCTCGCTGCCGCGACTACAACGATGACTACATGCAGTGCAAGAACGAGAACCCCGGCCGCGGCGAGTTCGAGTGCTTGAAGGAGGGCCGCCGTGTTACTCGTTGCGCCTCTAGCGTGTACGTTGAAATCCGCAAACAGACTTATTGAAAAACATGAAGCTTCTGCAAAGCTCAGATTGTCGACCGGACACGCTGACAGGACGGGCAATACAGTATCGAGGACGTCAACAAGCACTGCCTCGAGCAGTTCACCAACCACTGGAAGTGCCTCGACAACCACAACCACCAGCTGTGGCAATGCCGCCCCTTCGAGTGGCGACTCAACAAGTGTGTCTTTGACAACCTGGTGAGTTCCTACCGCCCAACCCGCGACATTCATCTATGCAATATATCCTTGAAGACCCCAGAGCTTACACCGTTCCTCCAATCCAGAAACTCGAGAAGAAGATCCCCGACCAGCCTGGAAACGTTGTCCCCGTCGAGCTCCGACCGCAGCAGATCTTTGCCGACCGCAAGTACCGCTCCATCGAGGGCAAGCCCTTTGTTCCTGGGCAGGAGGCGAAGCAATAAACGGGTGCGGTTTGGGATACGAAAATCAAAGATCGATGAGGGCGGTCCTACGTTGTGTACATTGTGTTGATATATTAGAGGATTGACCACCATTTTTTTTCTACCATCCATACGTCCTTTTTCGGCTCCGGTGATACTTGGTGCGATTTGAGCTCCATATGTTGCTACAACGGTACCTGCTTTTGGGCCAAAGGCGACAGAATGTTAGGGCATCTGGATTCAACCCGCTGGTTCAGCTTATTTATTAGGGTTCCTAAAGTAAGTGGAGGCCGTAAATATCTACAGGAACTTCTCGGCTGTTCTGCGTAAATAGAGTGACGTTTATGCCTTTTGCCGGAGGTGTCTCGGACCAGTTCGAAGCGAAATGCAAATATTTCTAGAGTTCGCGGCGCGATTGGCAATGATTGCTCTCGTAAGCTGTCAGCCTGGAGCATAGGATACCAAAAGGCTGTGGGCAACTGATATCAACTTATGATTAGGCGACAAGGAAAACTTCGATGTTAAGAAAACATGTCACTTCTCACGCTATTGTGTCCCTACTGCTGGTGATATTGTGTTGAAAGAATACGCTGGTGCCTTTATGTTGCCCTTTTGTCTGGGTGTCACCTTCTACTTATCTTATGGTTTTTCGGTTGATTCTATGTATCATTCTCTCAGTTACGAGTGAGCACTTCAAAGCAAAAGCTAACTCCGAGAGGCTGGTGATTGGTTGTCAATGGATGAGCAGCGCTGCTACAAGAAAACATGTATATGATCGGCAAGCCCCGTCTCTCTGTGATACTGGGCCATTTGGTACAACTGATTGATCGGACCGAGCAGTCGAGTCCAGTCAAACTGACAAAGGTACTTTGTTGAACCCGGCCCACGAAAACTCGGAATGTAGATGCATCATCATACGTGGAAACGTGAGACTTGCATCTTGGTTCACGGCAGACACGAGGACTATGCTTGTGTCACAGGCACGACGAATATCCGAAGATTATTTGGCGCCAATGTTCCTACGGGGTACTTACGATGCCCATGTGTGTCCAGTCCAGGAGGCGACTGACCATGGGATTCTAGAGCCTGGCCATTTCTAAATCTGAGTAAGTATTCTAAACTAAAGTGAGTGCAAATAGGCCAGTCTTGTAACAACCAACAAGGCAGTACTGAGAAGTACTTTCTATATGTAGGTATCAAATGCGCAGCGCGTAAATGTTATCTGTCCGCCCAGGCTTGATTGGACCTGCAGGCGTGGTTTGTGGCATCTGTTGGTTGTGGTTTATTTAAATTTCTTCAACAACAGAAATCATCCCACAAATCAAATATGCCATTCGGTCGACGCGGGATCAAGGAGCATAGATAGAGAGGATATGCCGGACTTCACAGGGTTCCCTGGGCGAAAAGGAATGGCTTCTAGAATCATGACCTGGGGCATGGTGTTATCTCCGTTTGCAAGTCTGTGAAAATGTCAGTTAACCCTTAACTGTGCAGGACGTTCGTCCCGTCAGTGTAAAGCCTGATGCGGGTGCGGTCCGTCGGCTTTGGGAAAGGCGTTTGCTCATTCTGATGAAGGCATATTGAAAACAGCATTTCGTCATCTAGTTGTGAGCAGCAGTCGCTGGAAAATAACACAATGCGATATTTGAGAGGCCTGTCCTCAGCTTGTGGTACTGAAATCGGCAAGTTCCATGAATGTGACTAAATTATCCATTGTTAGCAGCTTATTACTCCGGGGAGGATGATGGAGGAGCTGGGGGGCGTGCGAATGAGAAAGCTAAACGAGGGGGCCACTCCAGCTCCTAAAATTGGCGTATCTAAGTCCCAGTGTTTCGGGGTATTGAGGGGGTGGGGCTTTACGGTGTTCAGCTGTGATGGTGAGACATGACCAAACAACGGACGTTGAGTCGGATAGGTAGAAAAGGACTGATCACCGTATTAGAGCGCGTATTCTTGATGGAAATGTTGCCATCGAGTTAAACGTGTTGGTTGAGTTTTTGACTGTTGGTGCCTAGGTGCCGTGGGAGGACTCAGAAATAGAATCTATCCCTTTGTCTGTAACAACCCCTGGTCGTGTCTGTGCGCTTAGCGAAAGGGAGGAAAATCCTGGCATGCGTTCACACGGTGTGCTTCCGTAGCGAAAAGCAAAATAAATGACCGAAATTGCTCGCCTAGATCAGATTGATGCTTGTGTGCGGCTTAGGTTCTTCCGCCGCCAACTGGGAGGAAGCGGACAAGCTTTGCCCTGGTGCGGCTTATGAGTAATTTAGGTTGAAGGCCGAAATTGCCACTGGGGGGTTCTCGGGATGGTATGGCGGATGCAAGAATGGAGAACTTGAAGCAAATTGGCAGGAGGATAATACTATGTTGTCTCCTCGGCCGCTACTTGTCAAAGAGCGACGAGTGAGGGGCGAATCCCACCAGCTTATCGGAACTCGGATGCCACGATATTAACCTGTTGTTTTGTGAAGATATACAGACGGATGCAGCTGTATTTTTGGAATGCAATGATCCGTCATTGGATGCATCAATGTGGCTGTTCTGTCTTCTTCCCTCTGTCTCAGAGTGCATGATTTGCCCGTGGACGTCATCATGCCCCGTCGACTTTGCGGAAGCGAGGAAGCAAGGAGGAGAGAAACAAGAAATTTGGTCCGATGGAGAGTGGCACCATGGAAATCACTGGCATCGGGGGCCTAGTGCCGGCATTGAAAGGTCGATGCATGCAGCATGAGTACAACCAAACCGCCGCCATGGCCCCATAATCATCTTTGCATCCCACCCGCTTGTCATTTGGCTGAGAATTTACCTGGAGGATGGAAAATGTTGCGGATTGTTAGAGGAATGGAAAGAACAACAGCTGCTGCTCCCAAGGGCGATAATGACTCGAACTATCGTCCAGAGCGTTATGCCATTGCATTCAATACTTGGCATTGCATTGCTTCATTGTTAGTCAAAGCTGTTGCCGACCGGGGTTTCAGCACTGAGATTGAGGCGGTTTCAGAAAAGCACGCAGACCTATGACGGATCAATGCGGTGATAGCTTGTTTAATGGAGACGCAGGGATTCTGTTGGCCGATGACACCTGGACTTGGATCATCACGGGCAAGGATCAGAGCACAGGCCCCACTGCCACCTCGTCCTGCAAGGTACGACGGCATGACTGCACTACGCTTGTACGTGGATGAACTTCCTTGGACCTTTCATCCTGCTGATTAGAGGAGGCGGCCTTTGGGAGTGATCCCGACATTTGCTTGCAGTGCAAGGATTTGCCACGGCGAGAGAGCTGGCTGGCGTTAGCCAAGATGAAAGGGTTCGGTAAGCTAGATTGACGGGCGTGACAACGAGCAGATGCTCCTTGCATCTGGATTAGCTGACCAAGGACGCAGCAAGTAATTTGCGAGATGAAGTATTTTCCGCCCCTCCCGAGGAGAAAGAGGCCTGCTGAGGGGGATCGCCATGATGCCCAACAAGCAAGTACGATCACCGTCAAGACCGTTTGCCAAGGTCGAGTATCTCGATGCACCAAGTATCGTAGGTACAAATGTACATCGGAGACAGCGAGAGAAAAAAAACCAAAAAACCAAAAATCAGGACCCAGAGGATAAACCAATCAGTGAGAGTGTGCTCCGTACGCGAATCTGGCTGTGCAACCGCATTGGACCCGAGTGCGTATGCCGTATGCCGCTGTTGTTTGAGGAAGATGAGCTCGGGGCTTCAAAATGCCCAACCCTTGCATAGACACACCCCTAGTGGGGCGAGCGGCCCCCAATGCCTGGCGCATCGCTACAGGCCGCCGCACGGGGCCAACGCCTGCCGGTTAGCGCTTGCCACAGCGGGAAGTCGCTAGAACAGTGGCTGTCGGTGCCCTGGAGCCAGTCATCGCCTAGGCGGTTGTGGCAGCCGCCCTTCCCTCTTGTGGCGGTCTGGGGGTGAGGGGCAGGGGTGCATCGGTACCTGGATGTGGGGCAGGCAGCTCCTGGTACCAGCTGCTGCTCAACGCTTCCCTCGCTCCTCGCCTGTGCCCTGTCCTCGTCCTCGTCCTCCTCATCTTCTGCCTGGTTTGCGTCTCCCATCTTTCCTTGGCCTTCTCTTCACCTTCGCCTCTGCGACCCCGGTCTGGTACTTTGTCACTCATTACGACGCCTTCCACTCATTCCCACTTCGTTTCTACACTCCCCAGCTGGAGCCACAACTCTTTGACACCCCCGTCAGGTCGATCATTTTTATATACTTCGTCGCTCGCCCAGTGGGCTGCATCGTCTCTCCTTCCTTCTCCATCGGCCTCTATGCGACAGAGATTTCTCTAGTCTTCCTTTCTTTTCAATTCACCCTCATTCGTTCCTTAACGTGTCATTCACACGACACAACACACTCATTAGCAGCCGCGTGCGGTTTCACGTCGTCTTCTTTGCAGCATTCAACCTACGATTTCACCATCCATTCCCCAGGAAACCAGTCAGATTTATTCGTCGACTCGAACAGATACTTCCCCACCAAGCAATCTTTCTGAGATTTTGGCCGGACCACACCAGCTTCGATATTTCTGATCTCTTCTTCAAAGTTCTCGACGAGCTTTCATCCATTTCCCCAACTTTTACACAGCAAGAAGTGCCACCCCAGCTGGTTCTGATTATCCGAATCCTCAAAAGGTATGTGGAAAAACGTGCATATATGTCAAGCCTGCAACGACCTTTGTGAGATCTGTCGTCGTCAACTGCTCTCCGTCGCCTGCCTAAACTCGGAAATCACTGTCGTCGTGTTTGGATACAGTCCAATGTTGGAAATGGGGTCTCTCAATGTCGAGAGTACAACATCACATGCCCATTCTCAAACACCATGGCCACGCCCGATTGTATGGGAACGCCCATCCAGTCTCGATCTGCCTGTACCAGCATGTCTCGTGAGCAATGTCTCAACTCACATTCCCCCACACTGCGCCCGTTCCATGGTGAACTTGAAACAGATCACTCAGATATATTTGAGACACATGTGTTCGAGAAATGCCTAATGAAGAACTGGACGATCAACGACCAGCCTCTTGATGGTCGCTTTGCATTTCTCTTTGCTGCTATATGATGTTTCTGTTATTGAGAAGTGGAAATGACTAACTTGATGGTGTTTATAGAAACTAGGTATCAACCAGCATTTCCACAAGGACCTATAGGACAAATATCCCATTCAAGATGAAGGCCTCACTTTTCATTGCGGCTACTGGCGCGGCCATTTCTATGGCTCAGCCTCTTGCAAAGCGTGCTATCATTACAGAGTTGGTCATTGAGACTGCTATGGTCACCGAAACCGTGACGGTCAGCTGTCTTGCTGGACAGTCGGTAAAGCCTACCACTGTTGAGCAGCCTGTTCCGACTACGATCATCATCAAGCCTTCGTCCAGCAGCACGTCGGTCGCACCGGTTATCCCATCCACCACCAGTGTTGTGGTTCCCGTGATTACAACCACCTCTTCCTCGATTGTTGCTCCTCCTCCCACGACGACTTCAGTGTCCTCGGCACCAGCACCAACCACGACTTCCACGTCTGCACCGGCGCCCACCACCACCTCTACATCTGTCGCTCAGCCAACAACCTCGACGTCTTCTTCCGCCCCCGCCACTCCTACTGGATACGAGGACACCATGTTGTACCACCACAACATCCACCGTTCCAACCACTCCGTTGTCGCTATGGAGTGGGATACCACACTCGCTCAGTATGCTCACAACAGTGCCAGCAACTGTGTCTGGGAGCATGACATGTACGTCTAGAAGAACCATGTGTTTTAACGTAAGGATGAGAGTTGTTGACAATTATTTGTAGGAACCAAGGCGATGGCGGCTACGGTCAAAATCTCGCCTCTTGGGGATCAACTGGCGACATCGATGACCTCCAGATCTCGACTGGTGCTGCTGCTGTTACTGAGCAGTGGTACAACGGCGAGGAGCCTCTGTACTCGTCATTCTACGGTTTGGCTGACCCTGACATGACCGACTTCCACCTCTGGGGTCACTTCACTCAGCTCGTCTGGAAGGATTCCACCCGTGTTGGTTGTGCTACCGTCAAGTGCGGTGCTGGTACTGTTCTGGCTTACCAGGGATGGTACACCATCTGCAACTACGGCACCCCAGGTAAGATGCCACTTGACATTGATCTCACTCTAGGACACACATGATGCTAATTCGATGGATCGCAGGCAACTACGCTGGCGAGTACGGCAAGAACGTCTTGTCACCCCTGAAGCAGGGCACAATCAAGGTGACGATTGACGAGTAGTGATGAATAGCTGGTCTTTAATTTCGGGATAGAGCCCTTACTTGACGGGCTCTCATGAGTCTCGTACATTATCAAGGACATTGCAACATTTATTTTTTGATTCTCACATGTACTTTATGCCAAGTCGCACTGCACGATCTTCCCACTTCTCTTCTTAGGACATACATGGCATGTCTTGTTTGGGCTGCCGTATGATCTGCTTTTTCTTATACAACACCGTGGCATTGCATGCCATGGCGGGTTTTCTTTGGCAACGAGTGAGTCACCTGAAGACAGGGACAGGAAGACAACACTGCATAATACTTGCATGGCGCAGTCTTTACTTCTCAGCACCACAAGGGAGCGGGTTTTATCTACATGATGAGAACCGAGCGTCACGAGCTGGCCTGGGATTGGTTAGCTGTGCTCGCCTGGTTGGATTGTTTGTACGAAAGACTCGTTGGCAACTTTGAACGAATATTACAATAACACTTAGCTTGTGTTAGTTAGGCATTTCTGTCGTATGCACAATGAGAGAGATGGTTGCATCTTGCTTGCATTGCATGATCCGGTGTTTGCCGTAGAGTGTGACATGTAGTCTTTTATGCAAGGGGTTATGCATTCTTCACATAACACTTGGCCAGTCAGTGTGAAAGACAGAGAACGAACGAGATCGACAAGTCGGGGGTTGTTTGTCGATTGGGGCCGGGCCGGGTCATCGGGGTTACGGGAGCGTTCCCTCGGTCCCTTGAGCGAAACCAGCGGCTTGGGTCGGCAACTCTCCAGCAGTCGCCACCATGGAGAGACAGCTGAGGGGAGCACGCGCAGTGACGAATGAAAGTAGGGATAAGTGTGCGAAGACGAAAAATAGTAATGTTACATGATTCCTGCAGCCCTTCCCCTCATATCATGCCGAAAGTGAGACGGGAAAGGGCATGAGATGAGGAGATGGTCATGTAGCTATGCATGAAATCATGGGTTTTGGGGAAAGTGTCTGCCCATTTGGAAGGAGAAAAAAAAGAGCTTCCCCTCTCTCAAGCATCATGGGCGCGTGCAAGGACTGCTTCGCCTCTCGGACAATAGCTCGATGAGAGAAGTTTGTATCAGGTATTACGCATTGCCGATCAGGGTCTTGCACTTACACGAGAGGACTTGGGCGGGTATTTCGAGAGCCACTGAACAATAACATGGAATGGATTAAGCGTTGGGCAGCCACTGTGCTGCGCTGCTGCCAGAGGGGCCACCGCCTGGGCTTGGGCTGCGTCCAGGCCTGTTCAGGGCCCTTTCCCTAGGTACCTACCCAGGTAATGTAGGTATACGCACTACGACGAGCAAGGGTCTACGAGCAAGGGTTCGGAGAGCAAAGGGCCGGGGCCTGGAGCGTACGTTTGAATCCGGGACCGCGACGTCATGAATCGTTTTATTCTCACGATCCATCACGCCACTTTTTCCCCAACCTGCCTCCGCCTCTGGCCTTTTGCGACGCTGCCTCCTCCTCCTGGAGCCTGGGTTTAGACTTTGAGATCCAGCCAGACCAAGCATTCCGGCCAGGCAATCAACGCATCTCAGTCCCCGTTGGGCCTAGCACGCCGGGCAGCCAACTCGGCGGTCTGCTAGTTCGTCCTTTTCGCGATCTTGCGTCCAACCTGACTCAACCCCATCTTCTGGTCGCCCCCCAGTCGGTGAGGCCAAGCGACCACATGGCCTTGTCTCGAGCGGATCGCGTCCCCATCTCGCTGGGCTGAAAGAGGGACCAGGAGGAGGAGGAGGAGGAAAGAAAGAGTCATGGATGGGGGGACGGATGGTGGTGTCGGCCGCCGCAGACCGGCAGCCACCTTGGAAACACAGCGCGTGAAGCAACCCAGAATCTGGACTCGCATGATCCCACCGGGAGTCAAAGTCTCGCGGCCCATCTCGTGACAATGATGTGGTTTATCGGGAAGGCAAGGGAAGAATAAGGGTCCGTTGGGGGTAGGTGGCCGCCTGAGCAGGAACGGGTTCGCGGATTAACACATCTAATATGTGCCAAAACCTGCTATAGCCCTCTCCCCCTTCCAGGGTCCACCCCTTCTGCTATTGCCTCGATCTCGCAGTATTACCAAGATGACCCGGCGTTGGTCGTGTGAGCCTTTGCTCCGTGATCTTCCACACTCCGTCCCTGCCTGAAGGGGAAGGGGGGAGAAAATAGTCGTGTCCTGCCCTGGGGGCGGCCCATTCATTCCCCTTGGCCCCCTTGGTACATTCGTGTGTCATACTCATCCACATGTGCGCAGGCCGGCTGATATGTAGGCCCGTTACCACTCAGGGTTCCTTCTCACCTTTGGGGTCGTGAATAATAAGCTTTTTTGCCATTTGTTGTTGACGGGCTGGTGCGTTGTGGGTTTGCCTGTTTCCTCGTTTTGCCTGTCGTCCCCTCGCTTTCCTCACCCCCTGGGAGCTTTCCCTTTTTCTTCTTTTCCTGGGTAATGTCTGCGGCCGTGGCCTGCAAGCCTCTTTCGTCATTCTCCATGCTCTACTTTCCTGTTCTGCCCATCGCTTAGGCAAAGATGACTGTGACATCAAATTAGGTCTCCTGGCCGGATGGGAGTATTGGAACTATGGGGGTGGCCCCCCCAGGGTCGGAGGCAGTACATAAAACAGGTCATCAAGCGATGTCACGCCAAGGTGTGTGTTGGCCAGGTCAACAACAAGGCAAAAGTCAAGAGATAAATTTAAATTATCACAAAACGAAACAGGAAAATCTTAGAATAGAAAGAGGAACAGAAATCAAGAACCAACGCGCGCGCGCAGGGAGGACGGAAAGGTGTGTTACACCGAGGTTAGTAAGTAGCGGCATGCACGCACTTTGGGGCGGCCGCTTTGGGTAATTTCCCCTGTGTGACAAAGCGAGGAGAGGATGACTACCACTACGACAAATCAGATGAATAATGGGAGGGAATGTTCTTTTTCCTCCGTTATCAAGCACTACGGGCCTTGGCCGAGACCGGGCGTGCCGCATTTTAGTGGATTTAAGGGAGGCTTTAGCTTCTGGCCAAGCGCGCTATGATAATCTGACAAACGGGGTCTGCGGATAAGGTAGCGCACACGGCGGAACGGGCGGTGTTTATCAGCCCGAGGATAAGGGAGGGTGCACCTATAGCAAGGTGCTATCTGAGTCTGAGTAAGGCAAGTGAGGCTCTGGGCGCCTGGGAAGGGTCAACGTGGCGCGCTAAAAAGGGCGCTGGAGAGGAATTACCGGCGGAGTTTAAAGGAGCTGCGCGACCAAATCCGAGGCCTTGAGCCGGGCAGAGGCTTATCAATCCATCCATCCATCCCTCGCAGCGCCCGCAGCACGACGAGCACAGACCCAGAGCGAGAAGCAGCGAGCGCACAGAGACGACGGGAGAAAAATGCAAAACAACAGGTAAAACAGGCAGTCGCCTGGTCGGGGAGACGAGGAATGGATGGGCTGCATGAGATGGGCTGTTCTGTTAGGGCATTAATGAACAGGCAGGGCCAGGGCTGATCAGCGAGGGCACCCGATGGCTTGCTGATCCGGGCCCACACGCGACCGACTGATGAGCTGATGAGTGAGCTGAGATGGTGCCAAATGTACGATCCGCTGCCTCCCCCCCCCCTTCGGCACCCGAAGGGGGTTAATGGGCGACTCCGGATCTAGGCGAACCGCGCTTCCTGTGCGAGTTCTCTCGTTCGCCAGCGCCCCCTGACATCGGGTGGGTAACATACGTGCCGGTGCATTTGAAATCAGCACACCATAAGTCCGTTGTGCATACATAGGGCCATAGTGGCCCTATTCAGTATAATAGGATCATGGCTGGCCTGTCTTGTCACGATACACTTATCTTGCCTCTCATATCCCCTCGCACCCACCCCAACTTTGCATGTCGTGAAACTGTCTCCTGGACTGAACAGACACACCTGTATATATATTCGTAATATATACATACGTACAGACATACCCACATTCGAAAGCGGCCATTACTGAGCTCGCTCTCACTCACACCCACGCTCACAACTCACACTCACAAACAGCACACATCTCCCGTCGTCTCATCGAACTGCCTGAATGGCAACGATAACGCTGAGTGAAGTGGCCAAATCTCGTCCTAAGCGGGCGCCGCCGTCACCTCCAGAGTCATCCAGACCGCCCTCCAAGAGGGCTCGCACCCTCACCGAATCCGAGGCCACCGCCAGGACCAACACCACCACCGTACCCGCCAACGTATCCGAGGTCACTAGGAAGTTGCGTCGGAGGGATAAGCAGAGCCCTCCCCCGCCTCAGGACAGGAGTACGCCGCCATGGGAACCCAATCTTCTCACGGGCCTGCCGTGCGGCCTGCCCAAACGAGAACCCGTCGTCGACGCTGAGGAAAGATGTGGAAAGTGAGTGGCACCAAGCCGTTGGGATCTATGCATACGTTTGTATGTGAGTTCGTGTATGCTAACCTCACTTTTTCGCTTTCAGGAGCCTGGAAGAGTCTTGCAAACGATCGCTGGATCATTTCCCCAATCCTGCCTTCGCCTTTCCCACTCCCACCTTGGAGTTCGATTTCCGTTTAGCAGTGACCCTGCGCCCTGAGCCCGCCCACGTCCCGGGGCGAGCACACAAGGAGATCACCGCCATTTCCTCGGGTACCTGGTCTGGCTCATTCGGACACGGACAAGTCATGGTATGTATTCCCTCGGTTGAAAGCACAAGAAATACAAACGACCCAAGACTCTAACATGTGGACTAGACTGGAGGCTATGATCTCGGGCAGGCAAGAGGCTTTCGCCCCATCCGCATTGTCGAAGGCGCCTTCATCATGAGGACCACTGACGAACCACCTGCTGTGTAAGCCAAAGCTACCCAACGCTCCTAGCTCAAGAGGCTCGGTAAACATGATTCCTAACATGATATCTAGGTTGGAGATGAGAACCCGAGGCTCACTCTCAGGGCCCTGCGAGATCCTCGATGCGCTCCTCAGCTCACGGAAGCCAAGGGAGATTGACCCTCGAAAGTACGGCTTCCGCATGTTCCT